ATTCTCTAGGCCCCCTGCACCCCAGGCAGACCACCTGCACCCCAACCGGCCCTGCACCACCTTGTCTGGTCTCCCTGCACCTTGCCTGGCCCCTCTGCACCCCAACCAGACCACCTTCACTTGACTAGTGTCCATGCACCCTGCTTCCCCTCCCTTCACCCTGTCTGTGCCCCCTGCACACCAAGCAGACCCCCTGCACCCTCTCTGGGTCACCTGCACCCCAAATACACCCCTGTAACCTGCCTGGTACCCCTGCACCTCAACAAGACCCCCTGCACACCAAACAGCCCCTCTGTACCTTGACTAGCCCCCATGGAACATCTCTGGCCCCCCTGCACCCTGATTGGCAGCTGTGCACACTGTAAGGGCTCCCCAAACCCCACGTAGACCTCCTGCACTCCACAAGACTCCCTGTACCCCAAAGAGTCCCCCTGCACTTGACTAGCCCTCATATGTACCCTGCTTTTCCCCCCTGCACTCCAAGCAGACCCCCTGCACCCTCTCTGGTACCCCTGCAACCTGCCTGGCCCCACTGAACCTTGTTTGTGTCCCCTGCACCACAACCAGACCTGCTGCAATCTGCCTGGCCCCCCTGCACCCTGACTGGGCACCCTAGACCCCAACCGCACCCCCTGCACCTTGCCTGGGCCCCCTGAACCCTAACCAGACACCCAGCATCCTGTCTGGACCTTTGAACACCAAACACAACCCCTGCACTGCAACAAGATCCCCTGTACCCCAACCATATGCCCTGCAACGTGCCTGCACTCTCTCTGAACCCTCTGCCTGCCAAGAAGACCCCCTGCACTCTGTCTGGCCTCCCTGCACCCTGTCTGGCCTCCCTATTCCCCAACCAGGCCCCCTGCAACCTCGCCGGCTCCCTTGCACCCCATCTTGGCCCCCTGAACCCCAACCAGAACCCCCTGCAGCACAGCAAGAACCCCCACACCCCAACCAGCCCTGCTACACCTTGCCTAGTCCCCCTGCAACCTAAACAGACCCCCTGCACCCTGTCTGAGCCCTGTGCACCCCAACAAGTCTTACTTCGCATTGTGTGGTCCCCCTGCACACCAACTAGACTCCCTGCACCTTCAACCCCTACTCAGTGGCCTCCACTCCTTCCCAGTGTCTCCCAGTGCACCCACAGAGCCTCCCAATCTGTTCAGTGTCTCCCTGTACCTTCTGGTCCCTCTCAGGGTCACTCCAGTCCCTCCCAGGGTCTCCCAATGCCCGCCAGTGTCTCCCAGTCCAACCGGTGTCCTCCCAGTCCTGTCACAGACCCTCTAGTATTCCCTCAGTGCCCTCCAGTCCCTCCCAGTATCTCCCGGTGTCCCACCAGTGCCCCAGCCCGCCTGGTGTCCTCCCAGTCCTGCTCAGAGCCCCTAGGATCCTTACAGTACTCTCCAGTCCTCCCACCATTCCCTCCATGGTCCTCTGCAGTGCATTTCCCACTCTGTTCAGTGTCCCCTCCCAGACTTCCCAGTACCCTCCACTCCCTCTCCATGTCCCTCCAGCGCACCCTCACAGCTCCCCAGTGTCTCCCCGTCCATCCCGTGGCCTCCCAGACCTACCACAAACTCCCTAGTAACCTCCCATGCCCTCCACTCCCTCCCTGAGTCCCCCAGTCCATCCAGTGTCCTCCCAGTCCTGCCACAGACCCCCTAGTATCCCTCCAGTCCTCACCGTGTCCCCCACGCCCCTCTGCAGCGCATCTGGTGTCTCCCAGTGCACCCTCAGAGTCTCCCACTCTCTTCAGTGTCCCCCAGTACCCTCCAGTCCCTCTCAGTTTCCCTCCAGGGTAAACCCAGAGTCCCTCAGCGTCTCCCAGTCCTGCCACAGACTCCCTGCTAAATCCCAGTGCCCTCCAGTCCCTCTCAGTGTCCCCCAGTGCCCGCTCTCCAGCGTCTCCCAATCCAGCCAAGGTCCTCCGAGTCCTGCCAGAGACCCCGTAGTATCGCTAGGAGGACAGGGAAATGCTGAGAATAGATACGAGTCACCGGGTAGAGGGAGATCTTTCGATGCAATTTTCACAAGCGACGGGGAAGGCAGCAGTGTGGAAGGAACGAAATACTTCAGGCGGCTGGGAAGCCAGGAAGGGAGCGGCGTGGAAAGGACGTGGAGAAGGCAACGGGGGACGGGGCGGTGTCGGTAGAATAGCAAAAAACTGCGGGGACCCGGACAGCCCGAAAGGCAGCCGGAGGCGGGAGCAGGCGGGCAGCTGGAGAAGCGCGGCCGGGACCGGCCCGGGGGGACGCGCGACCCGCCGCAGCTCCCGGTACCGGCCCCGGCCCGAGGCTTTCGCAGCCCCGGGGCTCGTCTCTCCGCCTCCGCCCCTTCCCACCTCCGCAGCGCCGGCTGCCCGACCCTCACCCACGCGGGGGCGGGCGGCACGCGCCTCCGAGCGCCTCCCCCGCGAGGCTTCCCGGCCACCCGGCGGCTCGGGGGCGCCGAGCTCCCGGCGCCGGTGCTGCGCCCCGTCGGGGCCGGCCGGGAGGAATCCTTCCTCGCCGCACGGACCGGCCGCTCCTGGTCGCGGGCAGCCGCGGCTGAGACTCTCTTTCTTTCGCTCCTCAGCCAGATCCCGCGGGCAGGGACACCACCACCCCCCCCCAACTCGATTCCAGCTGGAGCCCCTCGGCACGGCAGGACTGGCCCCATCCTCAGCCAAACCGGCTGCACCTGGGGCTGCCCCAGTCCAGCCCCAGCTGCAGCCTATTTAAAACCTTGGCCCGGTCCCATCCTCACCTCACCGGTCCCACCTGAGCTGCCCCGGCCCCAGCCCACAGCTGGAGCCCGTGGGGAGCGGGGGGCTGTCCGTACCCGGCCTGCAATAAGGTCATTTTAACAGGCTCAGGAACAATACTGTCTTTTATTCGGGCCTGGGGGCTCGGTGGATATTCCTCAAATCAAGCACAGCTAACAGCAGGTGGGGGTGCTTCTTTTATACACCCAAATCACAGGTCGGTGCTGTTCCAAATGCTCCTATTAGACACCGATCGGTCAGCAACTCTGATACAATTAGAATACAGATTACTCACCAACAGGACACCCTGCACCCTGTCTGGCCACCCTGCACGCCAACCAGACCCTCTGCACCTTGTCTGGACCCACTTTCACCTCAAACAGCCCCCCTACAAACTCTCTGACCGTCATAGACCCTGCTTGGCACCCCTGTACCCCAAACAGACCCCCTGGACCTTACCCGAGTTCCTTGCAACCCCAACTGGACACGCTGCAACCTCCCTGGGCCCCCTGAATCCCAACCAGACCCCCAGCACCCTGCCTGGCCCCTGTGCATCCCAAACAGACCCCTTGCAATCTAGCTGTTCTTTTCCTAAAGGAAAAACAAGGAAAAATCATTTAAAAGAGGAGAATTTTAAAAGCGCTGGGGAGTAAGGAAATACAGAAAAAAATTAAAACAGCACCTGAATTTAAAAGGAAGAGCAATCTATCAAACCATCTTGCCACCCCTGAACACTCAATAAAAAAGTACTCTCCAGAAAAAAAAAAAAAAGTGACAAACAAGTCTACTTTCTACTACATACGGTGCTCAACCTTGCCTGGTTCTGAAGCTCTTACCACAAACACGCGTGCTCCTCTGAAGGTCAAAAGACCTCAGTCCAAAAGCTTCGGCAGCACCAAGGCTGCCGTCGACGGAAGGAATAAGAGAGCACCAGAGAAATCCAGAAGCACAAGGACCTCCATGAGCAGAGGCTGGGGCTCATCTAGCCTGGGCCCTGCCCACCGCCCCTCCCGCAACCACCAGCAGGTGTCACATCAGCCAGAGGAGCAGCAGGGTTTTAACCATTGAGCCGAGATGACCTTTGAACCTTGACCCCGGGGTGACCTCTGACTTCTGACCCCATGTGACCATTGATCCCTGCCCCCGGAAGACCTTTGACCTCTGAACCCAGTGTGATCTTTGACCCCAGGATGACCTTTGACCTTGGATAAGCATCGATCTCCCGGACATCATTTGACCTCTGACCTGGGGTGCCCGTTGAACCCCGGGTGACCTTTGACCTCTGACAGCCAGATGCCCATTGACCTCTGATCCTTGATGACCTTTGACCGTTGCCCCTGGAGTGACATTTTACCTTTGACCCCCATATGACATTTAATACCCTGTGACCTTTTACCCAGGGTGAGCTATGACCCTGTGCTCTTTGGCCCTGGGTGACCTGTGACCCTGGATGCCCTGTGACCTTCGAGCACCGGGATGACTGTTTACTTTTTGGCTCTGGGTGCCCTTTGACCCCAGAGTGACATTGACCTTTAGCCCCAGAGCATCACGCTACCTTTGACCCCGGATGACCTTCGATCCCTGAGTGACATTTGACCCTGATGCCCTGTCACCTTTGGCCACTGGGTGACTGTTGACCTTTGGCCCAGGTTGACACTTGACCCTGGAATGCCCTTTGACCTTTTACCCCTGGGTGACCTTTGACCCAGGGTGACCTTTGACCCCAGGTAGTGGTGTGGGTTTTTTCACCGGGGTGACCTTTGGTGGCCCTTGACCCCAGTGTGACTTTTTACCTTTGGCCCCAGGGTGAGCCTTGACCTTTGACCCCTCTGCAACCTTTAACCCCAGCATGACATTTGCCTGGGGTGACCTTTGGCCTCTGTCCCGGGGATTACCTTTTCTGTTTCACTCCATGTGACCTTTAACCTATGACCCCGGGTGACCGTTGACCTCTTGGCCCATGATGACCTTTGACCCCGTGTGACCTTTTAACCACAGAATGACCTTTGACCTCTTCCAGCAAAAATCCCAGCCCAAGCCTAACCTCCATCCAAAGACTGGTGATGAACATCACCCTTCAGAGCAGCCAGGACCAGGATAAAACCACCCAGCTGAGAAAGAAAACACTACAGTCTCATATCTGGGTGTAGCGGTTTTCTCCCTAGAGCATCTGAAAAAAAATCTCAACTCCACAAGGAAAAAACTAAGTAAAAAAAAAAAAAACAAAACAAAAAAACAACAACAAAACATACTGAGCCACAATCAAAACACACCACCCAGCTTGAGGGTTTTTTTTTATTATTGTTAAGAAAACAGGAACTACCTCTACATTCAGTACAACTTGAAATAAAAGAAATCCACACCTACAATGTTAGACACATTCCAAAACTAACACTCATTCGACATCCACTCATTCCACCCCTCACACAAAACATATTCATTTTGTCACCTGCCAGAGTGGCAGATCACCCCCCTTCTATAACCATCCCTGGAACTGCATCACCGTGTACCTCAACACAACATCACCACTCCACATGATTTCACAGCATCACCCTTCATAACTGGAACCAGAGGAATACGTTTCCATCTTTTCACCACTTCTGCTCCTGTGCTTTGAAGTGCATGCTCCAGCAAGCCTCACAGAAGGATTTGCTCCCAGAATCCGAATGGCCCTCTGACACCTGCAAAAGATAAAAGAAGGGACTCCAGAGCCTGCTCACCAATAGCTACAGGCTGTCCCCAAAACCAACCTATACAATCTCCCCCCAAACAGGCCATGCTAATCATCACATCATCAAGAATTGCTATACAGACAAAGCAGCTCCACCTCAAACACACGTTATACAAACTGCAAGCATGATCTAAGGATGCAAGAATACCAGAGTAGAGTTAACGCCAGACCAACAGACACAGCCTGACAGCATGCACAACAGTGCCGAGGCCACGTGACACACGCACTCCGGCCTGGCCTGACAAACCTACCGTGACCGATGGAGACATATGGCTGGGAAAGACTGAAGACTAGGATGACACAGGAAGTACTCTGGAAGTAGTCTCAAGAAAAAAAGAGTCATCGAGATGAGAACTGCTGGTTAGGCCCAAGCCAGAGCTGCAAGGAAGACTGGCCAAATTCATCCACAACGCTAAACCAGACCGGCAGCGTTGAGCTTCTATGTCACGCTGCTAAACAAGTCGGAATTGGCACTGTGCCGATCACGTGAGGCTGCAGAGATGCAACGGATGGCTACCGTCATTCCAGTAGGATGAGTATGCCCGAGGCTTCTCAGACACAAAGGCCAAGACAAACATCAACACATCAGGTAACTAAAGAACATGTATGAACACACACTAGACATACTGCACAACTCTACCCACTCACCCCAGAGCTGCTTTGCCAGGACACGCGTGTCACGAGACGTATCACTCCCTCCACTAGCACGAGGCTGACTCCCCACAGACTAACCCTCCCATTATGCCACTTGGACACACATGGACTCCACTCCCCACAGATCTGTCCCGCTACTTAGCTTTCATGGTGTCACAGGTCACAGTCCATGCTCAGTAGCCATCCTCAACAGTGGCCTTGTCACCTAAATGCAAGGCTCCTTTAATCACCTCATGCCGCTCTGTTACCTGTGCAAACAAAAACAAAGCTGTTTCATACACACTTCAATCGTGAGAGCACAGCCCTGCATAGCTGCACTCACCTGCTCTGCTCCAGCTTTCAAAGTAATACATCACTGTTGCATGGACTGTCTGCAATTCAGCCCAAGCGGACCACTTAACTCCTGCCTTTTCTCAAACTGCTCATAGCTGTGCAGCTTCACCCCTCTGGAAAGGAATGCAGCACCTGCCAAAAAACAGAGGGAAAAGCACACGGTAAGATGCCACACATATCCTCAGCCTGCTCACAGCACTTCTCCTCTGCTGCTTTGCCTCGGCCGCTCAGAGTCAGATTCTTCAGTCTACACACCCCATCCCTATATATCCCTTTGTTCTACATACCCCATCCCTATATATCGCTACAGAATAGGGATATGAGTGTACATAATAGGAAGGGTATGACACCTCAAAAAAATACTCCTTCAGCACACTGGTCACCACTCACCTTGCTAAAGTCTGCTCCGGTACAGATACCCCACTTCACTCATCTATTCACACCTAGCAAATAAACCCAGAACAGCATAAGCCCATCAGAGCCATCAGTCACACGTATCCTCTGACATCGGACACCGGCCCGCCTTTGCCCAGCACTCTGCTCACCTCTCCTGTCACCCTGCGGCACATGGCTCGTCACTCTGCATCTGAGAAACCCAAATCACGTGAAGGTAGTCACCTAGACGCTAACCGATAGCTTTACAAGACCAAAGGTCTCTCTTTTTGCATATGCTTTCTAACTACAGCTAAAACAACCAAACCCCACATGTTGAACCCAACATATAAGCTAAGTCTCCTTTAAGATTCAAACCGCTCAACTACCACACAGACCACCACTCCCAGCAGGCCAGAGTCCAACCTCTGGCACCTGCCAAACACAGTGAAAACAACTCCAGCAGCTCTCTACAGCTACTTGCCCGGAGATGGACCGTACGGTCTTTCACAAAAGGATTGGGGCAGATCAACATATTGCTATACAACCATAAAGTTATGCTACCACTGTCTTTAGTATTGCTACATCCCTGGGCAGGGCAGCTCCCACCCCGACAGAGACAAACACCACAAACAAGACTGTGAGACACGAGAAGACCGTGAGAGAGAACTGCCACCGCAGGGAAGATGCCACCAGCAGAGGAGCTCTACAGTGCCACGACAGTGCAGATGCTTTTTATCAGCCCCGGAAAGAGAGGCAACTACTGTGGCCCATAAAAGAAAGCTACCACCAAAACCAGAATGATGGATACCTGAGAAGCCAGGCTTTGAGACTTAAGATCATTAAGGACACGAGGATGAAACCCCAGAAGGCTACTGTGTGCAAACAGAACTCTCAACAGCAGAGTTGGAGGCACCACCTACCTCAGCAGCACAAGAGATGACTGCTCAAGAACACCTACAATGCAAAACACACCAGGTGAATCCATGCTTTAGGCAACAACTGCTAGAAAAGAAGGGCTCGACAGGCACTATGCCAGTGAAGCAATGCACTCAAGATTCTCAGGAGGGCTACTGAGGTGCCTGCTGATGACAAAGGGCTATCGAGACATCAAGACCTGAGCACAGTGTGGTGTAACACACAAGAGAGACTACACGAGCTACATGCACAGACATAGGCTGGAACCTGCCCTGCCCAACACAAACTAGTGTCATGCTGACATGTAACCCACTCCCTTGCCTGCGCAAAGGAGACGGTTCCTGGACAGCCCTCTCCCCTACACTAACTTTAAAACCCCTTCCTGAAATTCCCAACCTTGGGCTGCCCACCAGAGGCCTCTCCCAAACACCACTCCCTCAACTTAGCTTTCAGAGGCCCAGGGGTCTGAACTCATCCGTAACAAAAAGCAAATCAGTTAACCAGGATATTCCTGCAGACACCAGGTTCCTCCTTATCATCTGCACAAAACCAGAGTGAGCAGTCAGCATCGTGTCAGTCGACACAGACTTCTTCCACAACACCCTCCTCCTCAAAAGCACTGTGGCTTTCTGCTCACCTGCTCCACACCAATTCTGGTATCGGACACTGTGGCCATCTTCACTTGTGGCACCTACAGTATCAAGAGAGAGAAAATTATGGTTGCACTCATGAGAAATCACCAGCCCCGTGCTCTTCACCTCTACTACCCCAGCTCACCTCAAATACTCATCCAATTCCAAAGGCTGCCTGCATGGCACCCACAGAATCAGAGAAATGCTTGATTGAGCTGCCACGTGATCACCTGCACTTAGACCCCAACCCGGCCAACAACCGCCTCACCTTCTCAGACCTCTCACTGGCGTGCAGTTTCACCCCTCCAAGACTGCTTGCGGCAGCTGCAAAAACCTAAGCAAAAGACATGCCGAGGTACTGCCCAAAACCACAGCCCGCCCACACCAATCGGCACATGGCTCATCCCTCTGTGTCTGCAGAAAACAGTATCGACAAATCACCCGGATGCTGATTAATAGCTTAACAATTCTAGAGGTCTCGATTCCATTTAGGAATACCATCTAGATTCCAAGTACAGCCTGCCATTAAAAAAACAAAACAAAACAACACAATATTAAGCCCTGCATATACAATCCTTATCATCTTTGAGATTCTAGCTATTCAACTACCACTCAAGCAGGCTCTCCCAGAGAGTTCCAGTAATCCCCTTGACACCCTTACCTGCTACTGAGGGCTACTTGCTCTGAGCTAGACTGTACAGTCTGTCACTAAACAGTCTACGCATATCATTATTAACTATAGACTATTAATCTTATTCTTCCCCTGACTAACATTGTGTCCTGGGTTGAGTGAGTGGTGGAGTTTTTTGGTGGCAGGGGAGGGGGCTATCGGGGCGGCCCCCTGTGAGAAGCTTCTCAGAGCTCCCCCAGCTCCACATCAGCTCCACTTCTGTTTGGGAAATTGAGCCAATCAGCTGCGCCCCTGCGATAACGTATTTAAGAAGGGACGTGGTGACGGGCAGTGGGACTTGTGAGGAGGAGTTGCTGCAGCTGCATGAACACCAAGGTCAGTGGAGGGACGGAGGAAGAAAGGAGGGGGGAGGTGTGCCGGAGCAGAGACCCTCCTGTATCCTGTGGGGAGACAGCAGGGCGGCCCCCTCCGCCACCCATGAAGATCTACGGTGGAGCACACATTGATTTACAGCCTGTTGTTCCTGCTCGCCTGATCAAGGTGCTGTGCCCGAAGAAGGCCGGGGTCTCATGGGAAAAGGCAGCCCCGCTGCTGTAATTCAGCGCTGGGAGGATTGCAGCATGCGGGGGAGTCCCACGCCGGAGCAGCTCGGGAAGGGCTGCAGCCATGGGAAAGAATCCAGTCGGAGGAAGTTAGTGACCCATGACGGAACAGCGTGGGGAACGCTGCGGCCCATGGGAGAAATTCAAGTCAGAGAAAGTTTGTGGAGGACTGTCTCCTCTGAGAGGGGGACCACGATGGAGCAGGGGGTAACAAGTTTTGGACACTCCCCTCACCGAACATGAAGGAAGTGGCAGCACTGACTGCACCCCCCATTCCCTGTCCCTGCGCCACTGGGGGAGGAGGTAGAGATATCGGGAGCAGAGCTGAGCCCGGGAAGAAGGGAGGGGTGGGGGGAAGGTGTTCTCAAGATGTGGCAATGCTTCTCACTGTCTTACTCTGTTATGTGTTGTTAGTGTCTGTAATAAATGGATGTTCTTTTTTTCTTCCCCTAACGAGTCTGCCTTTTGCTCGTGATCATAAAAGGGGGATTTTCCCCCATCCCAGTCCTATCTTGAACCCCAAGCCTGGCTCTCTGTCCCTTCTCATTGCCGGAGGGGAAGGGAGAGAGAGGTGCTGCATTGTGGTTGGCTGCCAATCAGGCCTAAACCACGACACATTGCTATGCCCCCAGGCAGAGCAGCTCCAACCCAGGCACATACGCAGACTGACACTGCACAGAGACAAGACAAATGACTTGACCCAGACACATGAAAAAAGACTCTCAAGAAGAATTACTCCCAGAGGGAAGACGCCTTTAGGTGGGAAGACCTAGGGATGGCAAGCAACAATCTACAGCTGTCCCAGAAGTCAAAAGCCACTGCCCATGACAAAAAGATATGGCCGCAACTGCAACAACGGATGTGCAAGAAGACAGACTCTAGGACTTAAGATCCAAAGGATGCCGAGAAAAAGTCGTCCCAGAAAAGCGATCCACGAAAACAGACCGCGCAACAGCAAATATGACGACACGTCCTGGATAACTGCTGCAAGAGAAGAGGGTCCATGAACTTCTCAGACACGACCCAGGCAAGACCGATCTGTGTGCTGAGCTTCTAATATGAGAACAGAAGCGCTAGGTTAGCACTACACCAGTGAGCCAAGGCACATGAGACCCTCGGTATGGCTACCCACCTAGCACAAAAAAAAACAATGGGAACATCAAGACTCAAGTACAGATGGTATAGTACACAAAAGCGACACATAAATATCTCCTTACCTACAAAGCTCCTTAGGGAATTACAGCAGCGGTTGACCGAGGGGAAAAAAACACAATGGCATGACATGGCAACTCGAAGACCTAAAATGGATACCTTACAACTACAGAAACTGTTGCTAAAAACAACAGATAAACAAGAATAAGAGAACATAACTGCCACGAATGATACTAGAGTAAGTCTCACTGGACTCTTAAGGAAAGAGGCAAAACTGCAATAACAGAAAAAGCTCACGTGCCCAGGACTGCAATAAAAGAAAGACCCCTGGCTGCAGATTGTTACGAGCACAAATAATACACATCCTCTTCTCCAAGAAATTCCAGGGAACACAGCAAACCAAACCTGCACTGGAAATAAGTGCCTAGTCAATGTCTCTAAGGAACAACTACTGTGACTCCAGATTAGACGGTGAGTGGATGGATGCAAAAATTAATGCCAAGAAAGAAGTAAAACGCCCAAAGAAGCAGAAGCCTCGGAGTTCTGGAGGGTATATTTTAATACACATAATGCTTTCTGAGATGTGACTTGTCTGATATTCAGTCCTGTATATTGAGATGCAGCGGATCAGATGGTTTATGCTGCATCTCTCGTGACTTTGTCGTACCCCCCATCAGCTGTCGGGAGACTAAAACCGAACAGACCTCATCAACACCCAAATCCAACTGCAAAACTGGCCAGAGAAAGGCTGATGAACCCTCCTCTCTTTCACAACCACTCAGCCAACTCAAGACTTTAGAAACTCTTTTTTTCCTGAATTGTCACGGAAGGAACCCCACTCCTTCCTGACAGCTCCTGCCCTGCATTTGCACCCCCGAACCCCCTGCATCAACTGCTCTGTGGGAGATGCTCTTCCAAGCCCTGCGCTGCATTCTGCAGGCACCTCCTATCTTCTGTCTTCCCACAGACTGCAGGCTCTACTACAGAGCCACAAAATAAGTAAAGACCTGATGCTTATAACCTGTGAGGGGCCTGCCACAAGCTGCAAAGGTTCTAAAGACAACAGGGTACTCTGTGAGGGACTGAGGAAAACAGTGAGCCACCCCATACCCTGAAAGACACTATGCCTTCCATCCCTGCCGCTTTCTTGAGAAATGCTAAAACTCCATATACAGAGGCTTACAAGACGCTCACCTTAACTCTATGGATATAATCCCACCATCAGTCCTATTAAGACCGACGATATCGGCAACTCACACGGTGCATAGAGAAAAACTAGTGAAAAACAACAAGGTTCTATCTACAGTGAAGTCAGGAAATCCAGGAAAATGCAATGCACTTAAAATAAAAAGAAAAAAAAAATGCATACTATTAAACCATCTCATGCCTCTAAACACTCAATATAAAATTGCTGACATGGAAAAAAAAAAAAAAAAAAAAAAAAACCTTCATAAAAATGTACTTTCAACTATGCACGCTGATGAACCTTGACCGGTCCTAAAGCTCTTACCTCACACACATCTGCTCAAAAACTACCATCGACTGAAGGAACAGGAGAGCCCCAGCACCAGAGAAACGCAGGAGCAGAAGCAAGCTCCCTAATGAGAGGCTGGGGTTCATCTAGTCTGGGCCCCGCCCACTGCCCTTCCCACAATCCCCCGGGAAAGGGGCGGGGCCAACCACAAGAAGGTGTCCCACCGGCCAGAAGAGCAACGATGAGATTCCTAGCTGCCTTAAACTCACAGCGTGCAAAGTGCTGACAGAGAAAGTGATCCTTACTAGAAACGGTGATACCTACTCTTTTATTACATCTATTGCATCAGCAACATTACCATGAGAGAAGAAGAGGGAGCAGGAGAGAAAATAGAGAAAAAAGGAACAGTATAGGGAAGCAAAAGAGGGGAAAAAAAATAAATAAATAAATCACAGCACGGGAAACAGAGAGATCCAGAAGAGAGGCAGGAAGGGACTGGGATGCACAAGAGAGGTGACAGGGTGCCCAGGGCTCAGCGCAGCTCTCGCTCTCAGTGCTGCTGGGAGAATTTGACAGGTCAGAGGTTTCTTTCTCTTCCCTTCATCCTTCCTGTGGTGGCTGTCCTCCACCTAAAATAATACACGGGTGTCTCACAGCTCTTACCAGACAAGGCTTCCTACACTCATAGCCTCACTTGCTCATGCCCTACATGGCCACACAGCGCTTTGGGTTTGGGTGACGCATAGAGACTATGTGGTACACGCTGGCAGTCAGGCCTGCTGCGGACTACAAAGAGGGATCGTTCCTCCCCCAGACAGTCAGGCTCACTCTTACCTGCAGTAGGAAGCTGCTGCTGGCCAGAGAAACTTCAATTTTTTCTTTTTTGCCTTTCTCTGGCCTCTCCAGCCTCAGCCACAGCAGCTCCTGCCCACTGTCCACAGCCGATATGTGCTCCGCCTGTTCCTTTTGACCGACATGCTGTGAGAAGCGCAAGGCCCAGCAGAGACAACCCACACAAGGCTGAGGCAGCTGCAGTCAACGGCATCCCCAAGGGAGGAACGGACAAGCGTGTCCTCAGTGCAGCCTCTGGAAGAGAGAAAGAAGCAGTGACCGTTATTACAGTAGATCGCTCCTGGCTGGAGCCCCTCCTTCCACAGGGGCTTCTGGAGACACAACAGGGGCCAGCTTGCCCCTGTCACCACAGGGCTTGGGGCTGCCCTGGGGCTATGGGACAGGCTTCAGGGGTGGCGCTGGATCTGGGGGCAGCTACACAGGGAGAGCAGGGCCAGGGGAGGCTCAGGAGCTCTGGTGAGTTGGGGAGGCGCCTGGCATCTGCTCCTGGGGTAACGCCCGCCTCCTTCCCCTCTTCCCTTCTGCCAGCTCTCCGGTAAGTCCCTGGGGCTGCCCCGACGCCGCTCGCTTCCAGTGCATCAGGAGCCTGTCACAGCAGGCGGTTCGAAGCTTCCTGTCCCGACACCCCCGGGCGGCCGGCGAGCGAGAGACACCCCCACACCCGCCCAAGGGGCTCGCTCGCCTCGCTAGCGTTCCTGGCCGGCACCCACCGCCAGGAATCACGCCCAGCGAGCCGCCGCGCACCGGCAGCAGCGAAGCCGGCGGTGTCGGGCTGCGCGCCCGTGCGGTGCCGGTGCTGCAGCACCGCGCTTCGCCCACCGGGTGGCGGCAGCGGCAGCGAGCGCCCGGCGGTTGGCGCGTGCCCGGGGGGCAGCACCGTCGCTGCAGTCCCGCGCTCGGCGCGACAGCGCGCGCGGGGGGCGGCGGCGGCCGTTCCTTCCCGGGGGGGCAGCGACGGGCGCGGTGGCACCGCGTTACCGTTACCGGCGGACGGCAGCGCGGAGCACGGGGGAGCCACTGCACATGCGCGGCTCCTCGCTGCAGTACCGACTTGTGCTCGCGGAACGGCAGCAGCGAGGACAGTAGCGCGTCACACGAGCTGCAGTACCAACTCTTGCTCGCAGGGTGACAGCAGCACCCTAACTCTTCTTTTCTGAGCACTGAGGACGGTGGGAAATGGCCGATAGTCCCCTTTGTATATCCAAAGACGACAACTGCTCACTGAGGGTACGGGGCTCACACCTCTCTGCCCTGGGAGCGACAGCAGCAGGTTTGTCACTGATGAGAGACACTGAACAAAGTTAATCGCTACCCTGCCCTCCAGCATGCAAAGTGATTAGACATGAAGCTGGGAAAACAAAGAGGCATACTGGTATCTTAAATGTCCTCAGCAGATGACCAGAGAGCCCTGGAGGTTTCCTCTTTACAGGACCATAGCACTGCACTTTGCCACTCCTCCCAGCAAGTATCGAAGTTGCCCTTTGCTGCCTGCAACACACCAATACTCAGTAGGCTGGGTGGGCTGTTCAGCCACCTTGTCAGGTGAGCAGCTCAGTTCCTTTGACTGGCTAATTCATTTCCTTAAAACAAACACTTTAACACTCAGTTTCTTTAATTCAGACCGCTCTAAATATGTCCTGGCCTGCAAGCCCTTTTCAGCTAGCAACACAGCCGATATACAGTGCTGGTAGAAATCTAGCTGTCATTGTGTTTTGATGGCAAAAGGCTTTTGTAACTTGAACCCCGACTGCTTTGACATCAAGACTGCAAGGCAAGAAATATGCCTCTACTTGAACAAGACACCTGCCAAATAGTTGTGCACAGTGATACGCAGCTGCCTGTGACCAACAGCATTTCCTGCTGAAAATAGAGCACAGTTCCCCCATGAAATGACACAGGCAGTGCAGAATGTTCCTCTGCTTCCCCTGCACCAGGTCCCCAGAGAACCGTATCTTTATCTGACTGGAACGTGCAGCAGCCTGTTGTCATCCCTGTCCCTTGTCAGCGAGAAACTGGCTGCCTGTAGCAGCGGCAGAACTGCTGCTGCCCAAAGGAGGAAGGAATGACTCGGTGTAAAGCTCTCCAGGCTGCCCGTGTCCTGTGCAGAGTTGATGACCTCGGCAATCTATACACAGGGCAAAGCTAACAGCTTGAGAAGGAATCGCACGGTGTAGCAGTTTCTACAACAACCCTACTTTTCCGGGCAAGCTAGACGGAGTAAAAGGCAGTAGAAAGGGGCCTGCCAGGTCCCTCGAGAGGCAGAATTGCTGTAGCTTGTGTCATGGCCGTTTTGCTCTTTTTCCTTGGCAGAGTTAACTTCCCAGAGGTTGGGAGACAGGTACGTTTGCACAGCCCAAGAACTGCTGCTTATGGAATAAAAGGCACTATAAAGCAGCAATGACAAATAAGGATGGCCTAATCAAGATGGTGGGAATAATATGGAGAGCCTAAAGTATTAGACAAGCAGGGCTCGCAACTAACTTTGTGTCGTAGTTTAAACCCAGCCAACAGCTAGCGCACCACACAACCACTCACCCACTCCCCTGCTGGTGGGATGGGGGGAGAGACTCAGAAGGGCCAAAGTGAGAAAATTTGTGGGTTGAGGTAAAAACAGTTTAATAAATAAAAAGAAACAACAGCAACGAATTGTAAGGAAAAGAAGAAAACACAAACAACAGAAGAAAAAAGCCAACAAGACGAACAAGCGATACAAAGGAAAACAATTGCTCACCACCAACCCACACCTTGCCAGTCCTGAGCAGCGGCTTCTCCACCAACCTCCCCCCATTTTACTGTTGAACATGACGTCATATGACCTGGAATATCCCTCAGGTCAGCTGTCCTGGATGTGTCCCTTCCCAACTCCTTGTGCACCCGCAGCCACCTCACCAGCAGGGCTGGGTGAGCAGAACAGCCCTTGACACTGTGCAACACTGCTCAGCAATAACTACCACAGCCCTGTGTTACCAACACTGTTTTCAGCACAAATCCAAAACGTAGGAGGGAGAGTGGGCTGGGAGTGGGGTACAGGGAAGTTGTTTGTGCGGGGAGGAGGGGGGGGTGGTGGTGTTTGTCACAGTTTGAGTGAGGGGCGATAGGCAGCACTCCAGGGATCCGGAAGGGTGTCAAATGCCCAGTGCTGCAATACATAAGGAAGGATTGGCAGATATAGTAATGCTTTTGGCTGTACAGAAGTATGCAGAGGAACACGCGCTTATGATATCTCAGCTGTTAACAACTGAGAACCCAAAGACCAGCGATGCCATCAACTTTAGGAAGGCGTGCTGTGATTGGGTTTTTGGAAGGAAATCGACTTTTTACTATTTTTAATTTTTTTTTTTTTTCGAGTGAAAAGCCTCATTGCTGACAACTACTGTCAAGTCTATCATCTCTGAAGATCCACTCTGATGAGAAGTTCATAACATGAAACTTCTTTCAATGAGAAAGATTTCCATTTTGGAAAAATCTCTTTCTAACCAAAGTCAAAATTATACACTGTATGTTAATAAAAAAGGATATTGTTGAAGCAATAACTCATCAAAACCACATCAGGACTCACTGTCACTAGTTACAAGGCTGCTAACGCTTCTTGGGAAAGCCTGGTAAAACACACGGAAGCGACACTGATTTGTCCCGTTTCATCCACGTCTCCTCTTTGACCTTGACCACTTTTAGTACAGGTGCTAATATCTCAGTAAGGTTTTCAAGTGCTACTGTAAGACTTTTAAAAACTTATTTACTGGAAAAGCATAAAGCTTTTATCATGAAAAAAAAAAAAAGGCTGTTTCTTTGGAACATCTGAACTCTTACAGTTTCTCTCCTCTTACTACAAAATTATTTTCACAGTATCATTTAATAGTAAGCACATAGAAACAGAAGATTTTGCTTTCGGGAAGAGAAAATAGAAGGAAGTAAGCTTTGCATAAACACAACATGCTCCAGAACAGACCTTATTTTTAGTATTTGCGATAAAATATTTCATATAAAAAATACAGAAAGAGAGTAGGCACATTCTTACCATTAACTTTAAAGTCTATACTACAAGTACCTTAGGAAAAATGCAGACATGCATCATAGACGTACGTTGTACTTGCAGACCAGTATGGATTCCTTCCATCTGTCTCGTACTTTCATGGCAGAAGAAAGGGCAACCACAGCAAAATGGTGGCAGTGGACATCCAGCTGAGAGAGGAAGAAACCTTTTAGCATAAAGCTGGGTAGAAATGTAAAGCTTCCTTTTTTGTGAAGGTTTGTGAAGACAGTACAACTGAGCAGAGGGAAAAAATATTTTGCATCATCTTTGATATACTTGTTGATACAGGCCACTAGAGCTTTTGCATTTTTTACACAATTGTGCCTTTTTTTTTTTGACTTATTGGCAGTTTTAGTTTCACTAGAACTCACTTTCCTAGACACACGCCAATGACAGATATCCACATACATTTTCTCAAGCCTAAGTATAGCAAATATTTCCTCACCCTACACATCCAAAGTTGAGTATTTTTGTTAAAGAGTACAGCCATCTGTCCTTGCAAATTGCCTCAGTGCAAAAAAGGAATTATTTTTTCCAGGCCGTTTCCCTAAACTGTCAAGATATTTTAAAACAGCAGTCTCGTCAACAAACCTGCTTAGGGTCCCTTCCAGCTTTTGACTGTCCTTAGATTTAACAGGCACACGTTCTATTCCATCTTTCAACAGCAAAAATACATAATGCTCTCAGACCCAGAGCACAACCCGATGGATGTCCACACACATCTCGCTGTTTTGATGAGGACCCAGTGAGCATCCCTGCAAGATTAGTTTCACCTAGACTGTGAGTTACTGATTTCAACCAATATAGCTTCTGAAGCTTTAAACTGAAAACAGTCTCTTGACACTTTGCCACAGCAGAAATGATCCATAACTAGAACTCTACAAAAATGCTGTAACACAAATTGCAAAACCACAGCAGCAAGAGCTTCGGAAATATTTAGACCAGGAACAAAGGAGAAAAATAAAACAGTTTCATCTCATGCACAGGAAAGCAGCAGAGAAAGCAGTCAGCATTCATAGCCCTTACAGAAAACAGGCAATCTCCTTCCATTCCTAAAGCCGTTTGTTAGGTCTACATATTGCAACACTACTACAGCAGTATTAAGAGTAGGGAACAATCCTGCCACTGGACGTGCTACTGACTGATGCTATTTACATAGCAGGACACGTAGACAGGAGGGTGTTTTTCCACACACAACTCCATTTCCTGAAATTTTATGTTTACCAAAAATAGCCATTTGGAACATACTGCCAAACAACATTTGGCAATAAAACTTTGATGTGTTTGACACACATAAATTTTTGTTAGCTTGCTATTTGCTTCCTGTCGTTGCTGTTCTTCCTTCAGAAATTCTACTTACAGCCAGGTTATTCACTTGTGGTTCAAGCGTTGACCTTCCTGGTATTACCAGCACATTTACACAGGTAAGTAACTTAATTACTCTTCTAAAATTATCAAAATGAAAATTACACCCGTGAAAGAGTGCAAGAAAAGAAAGAGAGAGGTCTTGCAGCAAAAGCTCTGCAGACTGGCACTGGTCAACATTGCACTCTAAAAACAAACAAAGAAACAAACAATAAAACAAAACCGTGACCTTGTATCTTTTTTTCTTTTGGAGCCCATCCCTGTCTCAGCATATTGCCTTGTCAGAGTATGAAGTGCAGACAATCTGTGTCCTGATGACACTTGCATGTGATGAATACGTGTTCAGGAATAGTCCAGATCTCTAAAACTGGTGTCATTCTTATGGTTTTAATAACCATAACTCAATTTTATTGACTTACGCATTTGTGAGGCAATTAATTAGCTTTTAAATCTAGCCTTTCCTTGGGAAAAAAAAAAAAAAAAAAAAAAACAAAAACCAAACGTGTTAGAGACTGAATAAAAGTTATGATTCAGAACTCCCAATCATGAGGGAGTGGTGGGGAAATTAATTAAAATGAAGCCCAACAGCAGCAACATTAAGTGAAATTTGGCTTTAATTCTGATCAAGTACTTCAGGGACTCTCCAAATCTATACCTCAATCCTATGAACGACTAGTCCGTCTTTGGAAGGACAATTTTTTTTACTTCCGAGATTGAAGACTGCACTGAACAGGGAATAAAGCACAGGAAGACATGTCATCGATACTCTAATGAAAAAAAAAAAAAGAAAAAAAAAAAATCAAGTTTCCATCATGTTTCATTCAATACATTTCTACTGGCATCTAGGTGCCCCAAAATTTACTATAATGACACCAGACATTACTGAAAATTTAGTTATACATAAAAAAATAAAAAGCTATTTCCAACTTGCCCATAAAATTAGCATGAACAAACAGAAGAGAAACACTTGACCCTAAAGAAGGTAACAGGCAGCTCTTAATTTATATCTGTAGTACCCTTGAACTGAAAAGTGTTTCTACCTGCTCCCCCAGCCCCATTCGTGCAATTACCTAAGCAGCAAATGGCATTCCACAATTTTCTTCATGGGACGCAGAAGGTGACACTGAGAAAAAACGCAAACGATGAACCTCTTTGTCACACCCAGCCAACGGTGAAAAGCCAGGGGAATAATCTGCCAGAACAGCCATGTGAGGCTGGGCCGTACACACCAGGAGCTCCAACTGGCCAGTTTCCCTCCCCTTTGCCAGGTACTGAAGAGATGTCGCCACCTCGTGCCGCTACCTTTCCTCCGCCTCAGGAGAGCTGGGGGACCCCCACTTCACTTCCACCCTTAGGAACGGGACCAGGAGAGAGCCTCCACACAGAGAGAGATGCACAGCCTGGATTGAATCCCTGAGGGAAGAGGCCAGGCTCCCCACTGGCAGAAGGACAACTTGCCTCCCTGTTACTCGGAGCTCCTTGCTGGGGACAGCCCTGCCTGCACCTGGCCGCTCTTCAGCCGGGCCAGGGGGGCTGTCCAGCTGAGGGACACTCCAGCGACTAGACACTCCAGCTGATTGCAGCTCCTGCTCATTACAGCTGCAGGGAATTTGGGATCTGGCTAATGCATACTCCGGACAGTGGACACCCCTTGTCTCATTCCAGCTGCTGCTTGCTACAGTTCTGGCTAGTTGAAGCTTCAGCTCTGCACTGAAGGTCCAGTTGATATCAGCTCTTTCTGCTTACAAGCTCCAGCTATTTGCAACAGTCTGGGCTTTTGGCAAGGTTGTAAATCAATTGCCGTCAAACCTTGAATATTAGGATTAAGCATCGTAACTGTACATTGTATAAATATTAATTGGTTTGTATTAGTCATTAGTTGATAAGCATTTTAAGCAGTGTACAAAGAGCTGGACTAGAATAGGGCATGAGGGGTCTGAAAAGCACCTTTCTCCTCAAAGACAACCTTGGACCGTGAGTTTGGCCTGGTGCATGCTGGCCTGCTGAACTTTGGGATCCGACCCTAACCCTAACCCTCCACCTCCACGGAAGGCTGCCTTCCCACACCCTGCTTTCTCCTGCCACCCCTGCTGCCCTCCCACCAGCCTCTGTCTCTCACCCACCTGCAAAACCAACCAAACTGGCTTCTGCTTTTGGCTCCCAAACCAGCTGACTTAGTGCCAATTTCTGAGCTGACTTGGCTGCTGAGCCTGTTCTCAAATCCTAGAAATGCAGGACTGAAGCAATAAGCCCAAGGCCACACAACTCAATCTGTTTCTCAGCCCCAAAATCAGTCACATGAGCCTCTTTTCAAGCCCCAGGGACAGAAAATTTCATCCTCATTTATGACCCCCAAAACAGATCACTCTGTTCTCTGACTCCCTTTTGCAGTCCCCATGTGCAGTGCTGAGGGATGGGGAGAGCGTAGCCACCTCACAGCCCTACACTCCCAGGCTCCTACATGCAGTTTTGGGAGCGTCTGGGAACTGCTGAGGGCCCGGTCCCACGTCTCTGTGGGGCAGCAGCAGCACAGGCAGGGCAACGATTTCTTCTTGCCGTTTCAGCCTTTATTTCTCCGGTATCATCAACACCGCACTCCAAATCCCCCACGCCAAAGGACCCCACGGGAAGCCGTGTCCAGCCATCCCCACCTCCAAGCCGAGAGCTGCCCGACCCCTCTACAAGAAACCCCGACGGCAGCGACAGCAGCCGGGGCTCTTCCCCGCCCGCGCGGGCACCGGGACCCGCCCGCCGCCGCAGGAGCCAACCGGGCCGCCGCCGCCCGACCCGCGCCGACAGCGGCAGAGGCTGCCGGACCCCAGCGAGGAGCAGCCGGGGATGGGACGAGGCTGCCCTTGCTCCCCCCCGGCCCCACACGGGCTCAGCCCCCAAACCCCACAACGACGCCGGGGCAGCTTTCGTCCCAGGGCCGTTTCCATCCCCGCCGGTCCCAGGAGGGCAGAGCCCAGACCCGCCAGCGAAGACTCCAGCCAGGGGATCCCACATCCAAGACGCGCTGTGCCCACGACCCCCTAAAGCGCCCAACGCCACGACTCCTCCCCCGCCCCAGCACTGCTCCCGCTACCTCAAAGACCAAAGCGGAACAAACCGCCGCAGCGCAACCGACCGCCCCCGCCCTTCCGGATCCGCGCAAGCCCCGTCCCGCCCACTCCCCGCTCTCTCAAGCCCGGTCCTGCCTGCCCCCCGCCCCGGCTTTAGCGCTACCCGGGCCAGGGCAGTGGCCGCATCGGACCTTCGGTCTGCTGGAGGCTCTAGGGCGCTCCTCGACCCTTTTCGCTCCGACACCTCCTGCGAGCTCAAAGCAAGCCGGTCCCGCTCCATCGGGCTACCACCGGTGGTGCCCGCTTGGTGCCCGAGCTGAACGCGGGTCTCCACCCAGCCATGAGGCGTCGTCACGGGCCTCTCGGTGTGTCCGGCGCCAGCGCATCCTGAACCGAGGAGAGCTCGGTGCGACGGCGGAGCCCCGGGGCAGGGGTTACCCCACTCCCGACGACGGTCCCCTCGCATCCCGCCCCCGAAATCTTCCCCCGCCCCGTACTGAGAGGCACGCATATGCTATCCCCGGTCAGGGGCCTCCCCGGGGAGCCGCAGAGCCGGGCCGCCCGGGTTACAGGGCTGTGCCGTTGAGACGCGTGCCGGGCGGAGATGAGACGAGAGTGACAAGCACGGGGGAGCTGCGGGAGGGGAAGATGATGTTCGTTTCCCATTTTTCCCACAGGCTAATTCTCGTGGAGTCACCCCCATTTCCTGCGCGTTACAGGCCCCCGATGCGATCCGCCGGGGCCAGAGGAGCCACCTTGCCTGCCGAAGGAAACAAGGCTTTTCCTGAGAGGCAGAAATACCTTGGATCTTGTTTTCATCGCCTTGGTCGATCAACATTTTCTCTTGTCTTTAATGTGGTCTCGCAGCCATAGCAGTTCATCTGTAAAATAAAAGAGCCGGGAAGTGTTACACGGCCCTTGTCTCCTACCGCCCTGTAGGGGTGGCTGGCGCACTGGGGATGGGGTCGGGGAAGAGGGTCTCCTGGAGGAGGGCGGTGGGGGCTCCCTAAAGCATCGTCGTAGTGCTGGGAAGGACCTGGGTCAAGTTGGAGCCGTGCAAAGGGAGAGGTGATGGCAATCCTAGAGGAGGGATGTGGGGTAGGGGTCTGGAGGAGCTCAGGACCATGTTGAAGGCGTAGGGCAGTGCCAGAGAGCTGCAGGGAAGGGTGTCTGGGAGCTGAACCGGGGCCGGTCACAGGTGAGCCATGGTGCATCATCCCGCGGGCACCACCTTCCCCTTTTCGTGACTCCGGGCTACCCCTCACCGCAGCAACCCCTCACGGTCCCAGCACAGCTCCCCCGTCCCAGCATGCTGGCCTCCCCACCGTTTGTTTCACATTGGTTTCCCAGTTGCAGGGACCCATGAGCCCCAAGCATGGACCTCTAGTTCCAGCTCACCTTCTCTGTAGTTGCGATCACAGTCCTGGTCCCAGTAGGCAATGCTTGGCAGTGGCTCTGTTGTACCAAACAGACCCCCGCACAGGCACCCCAAGCTGCACAGCTCCTGCTCAACTACAGCACGTTGGATGGAGAGGGGCCATTGCTGTTAGGCCCTCTGGCTGTACCTGGTTCTTTCTGTGCCTAGCCTCCCAACCCACAGATTAGCCAGCCAGGAACAGGAACGATCACAGCAGCTCCATCAGTGACAACTGGAGCTACCAGGGCTGCAGAGTGTGCCCCAGCTCTTGAAAGCAGCTTGCCGAAGAAAAAGAAGTCCTGGGGTACACAAAAATGAAAAAGGATGAGTTTTAAGGGGAAAAGAACAAATTGAGAGATATGGGGCGCGATGAAAAGAAGAAAAACACCAGAGGATGACAGGGCAAATAGATGACTGGGAGGCACAGCCAGTCAAAAGCAGAAAGCCAAATGGCACACAGAATCCCTGTCTTCCAATGCCATCCACACGGGCCCCAGCTCTCTGGCCCAGACACACTGCGGACGTCTCAGGGTGCTGTAGGCAAAGTCAGGAGCAGCCTGGGGAGCTCACGCAGCCCTGGGAAGGGGGTGAGGGCCTAACTGCCTCCTGGAATAATGGGAAATGCCACCAACAGCCCTGTGAACAGTGCTGGAGTTCTCTGGGTCCCCCCAGTGACCCAAAACTGGTCTAAGAGACCTTGGGACCAGCTGCCACTCACTTGGAAGCGATAGGTAGCCTCCCTCCCTTGGATACTGTCCTTGGGCACCTTTTAGTGAATGTAAAGGGACTGCAGGACCCACAGCCACAAGTGTAAAGAATAAAGCAATTATTTATTAATTAACGCACCCAACATTTGGGAGTGAGTCTGCCATGGGGCTTGGTGCCAGTATGCTCATCCTTCCCCAGTGACCCCTTAAGAGTCACTACTGGAACAGTGTTCATCAGTCTGGTGGGGAAGGGTCATCTCCTGCTGCAGTGCTTGCTCCGGCAAGTCAGTGAGCAGCTGTGAGCCTCTCCCTCTGCATTTTCCTTTGGGGATAGGATTCAGTTCTGTTACTTGAGAAGAAGGCCCCTGACCTCACCCATTTGATCCTCTGCCCTATCCCTTGACTAGCACACTGCAAGAAACTTGCACAGCTTTCAGGTCATCTGCCACCTCAGCAGTCTGATTCAGTGCATCGTGCCTGCATCACATCAAACTGAGACCTTGGATCAGAGTGCAGAGCTGAATGCTGTGTGGCTGGAAGGTTATTGTAGTGATCCTGACCAGAAGACGATCGTCCAATTGGTGAGCTAGTGATCCATGTAACAGTTAACCCGAGAAGGTGCAGGCCTGAGCTGCGCTATGCTGCAGGTATAGCTTCTCCTTCCAGCCTGTATTGTGCTGTGCATATCCCTGGTTATCAAAATAAACTTCGTTGGGCAACTGTAACAAAGGAGCCTGTAGGCAGCTCCCACTCGGCAACAGTGATTAAAGCATCTGCATGGCTTTATCGTAAGGCGAAGCAGCAGCCTTCCATGTGAATATCTGCTTGTTTGACGACAGAAATGGTATTTTCTTCTAAAAAAATTCTGTAAGAGCTCTAAAGACCAAGACGTTACTGGAACCTCCCTACAGAGGGGATCTGCATGGTATGCCGTGCCTTGACTGAAGGCCCCTCTGATTCTGTGCAAATCAGAGTTCCCAGCGCCTGAAGGACACAGAACTATCCATGTTAACCTCTTTTCCTTCTGCTATTAAGTTCAATAAATGGAATTTTAATCAAAATCAATACCTTGTGGAGCGTGAGTGCCTTTCTCTTTGGGATCAATACCCCAAAGTTCTCCAGGCCTGTGACACACTAACTGCATCTCGAGATGTGATTTTGAAGGCTTCTTCTTCTTTTCCTGGCTTTCTTTCAGGCTTTTCCCGTGTGAGAGATGCTCCAATCCCTTTGTCATTTTGGTGGCCCTTCACTGGACTCCCTCCAGTATGTCCACGCCTCTCTTGCACTGGGAAGCCCAAAAGACCTCCTGTGCTACAGACAACAGCCCAGATACTCTTCCCACCCCAAAATTCCAGATTTCCTGACACAGGGAAGAAGCCCCATATAGACTGAGTAAGCAAATGGACCCCAAAGAGCTGAGGAATGCACCAGAGGTGCCAGCGCAACCCCTGGAAAAGCCACCAAGACAAAAAAATATGGCTTCACCAGCCCCACAATAGCTCTGGGAACACATAGGAAAATCCCCAGTAGCAACAGGTTTGGCCTTAGGGAATCCCCCCCGCAAGGAGACAGAGCATCAACAAGCCCACCTCCCAGTATCTAAAGCACTAGGAATATCCGTCTCCTACAGCAGATCACAGTAGTGGCGCCGAGGAGCTTTTGTGCTCGTCCTAAATGAGCTATAGCATGACGTTCTTCAATTAGCCCTAAAAAGATTATCTGGTATTGATCGCACACATGTACTGTCCATCCTGAAATGTGCTGTATTAAAAAAAAAAAAGAAAGTCAACAAAACCACAACAAACAAAAACCCCATACACAAGTGTCTATCTCAGCTATCAAAGTTGTTTGAATCAATCACTTCCATACAGCAGCAAAATCAATATGCAGATTTCCAAGGCACCTTAAATTTCTCAGCAACGATCATTACCAACAACTCGTAGTTCTCAAGAGAGAGGATAACGGTATGAATTGCAATGGAGGAACAAGTGTGTGCCTGCTCTGTGTTGCAGCGTTAGAATGCGTGATCGGGGTGGCATTAACAAGCTATTTCCACAGTGATTCCACTCAAAGTTTGTTCACCTCTTTGGCTTTTTGCACTCCACACCAACATTGCACTCAAGGATCTGATTGCAAACTCTGCCATTCCAGCAAAAGCATTAAGAATTTTATCAACAAATGAAGTTCCTGCTTAAGCCTTTTACGACAGAACTGCTGCAGTCGCCCCACTCTTGAAGAACTTTTATGTTTAAATTTAAAACATCAAGACAAGTCTGAAAAAAAATACACAACTGCGCAAAAACTTTAAAGCAAAAGAAGAAAGTCGAGCAATTTGGGAAGAAAGTGAAGGAATTTAGCTTCTACTTTGTTTCACTGATACAAATTAGGAACTGAGATTCCTAAGTATTTAAAGCAGAAAAATAGAAGTGAACTACTATCAATGAACAACAACATTTTTGACAATTCCATCTTTTAATAGGAAGTACTTAAATTATTTTTTTAAAACAATTCTGAGAACAGCACAGCTCAGCTGTAAATTTGCAATCTGACAAGTATCTCATGATATTTCTCATGCTTTTTTTTTGTTTTGTTTTTGCAGTGTAAGAAACTCGTAAAAAAGTCCTTCTTCCATTACGGAAAAACAGCAGACAGGAAGATAGCTAAACTCATCAGCCAAGGATTTTCAAATTACCCATACGCTGCACAGTAAACAAATCCTCAACCATCTACCCCTCCCCCCCCCGCCCTGATCTCTCAAAAATAACACCTTAGTGCTTTGGATTAAATGATGACCAACTGAATTGATTTTGTCGTCTTGGCAACACTAAATCCAATGACAGATCTCTTTGTTCTTTTTCTGAATCCACCAGCTGATAGCCAAGCATGTTTATAGCACCTTTGCAAACTTCCTGTATTTTCTTAATTTTCTGGAAGGAAAGGACATTTCTCCAGGCCTGTGAAACACTAACTGCATCTCGAGATGTGATTTTGAAGGCTTCTTTTTTTTTTCCTGGTCCCTGTCCGTGCGTGATATTATAGATCCAGCTTTTGAGCATGGGGGTCAAACTAAGATCGGCAAATTTATACATTTCTGAGATTTCTGATAACGGATCCCTGACCAGATCTTCAAAACGGATCATTAAATAGCGATCTTTAAGGAAATTAGGTGGTTTTAGAGTAGCCGTTTCATAAATCTGCACGTGACTTCTACAAATCTCTTGCATTACTTTGTATTTGCTGTCTTCCACTTTAGTGCCATTGGTACTCAAAACAATTCCATTGTCACGGGCTAATGCTTTGACCGATTGTTCCCGTGACTTGACAACTGCCCTGGGGTCTCGGACCAAGTGAATAATTTTGAGATTCATGGATGGATCAGTGAGAAGGGGGTAGAGGACCTTCAAGTCAAAGAATCGAACCTCCTTGATGACAACATGGCTGTAAGTTTTACAGGCTTCCTCCACCTTGCTGAATGGGTACCGTCCACAAAGAGTCTTGCATGCCATTTCACTGGTTATGTCGGTACGTTGAAAGGAGTCACAAGCAGGAGCTGAACACAGAGCCCGACTCACTGCCCACTGGAAAAGATCAGATAAGTTTCTTTTCCAAGGCATGTATGCATCAAACACAGACATGTCACACAAAAAGACCGACCTGACTAGGTCCCGCACTGCCATGTGCAAGACCCTGGCACTGTTCTGGTACATCGTAACCCACACATGCCATGCGGGCTCCATCAGGTAGAAGACACTGGGGTGCTGGCTGAAAAGTTGACCGACAAAAGAAGATCCCGACCGCCAGGAAGAGAGAATGAGGATGTGGACTTGAGATGGTTTCTCCTCAGACTGAGGCATGAAGCTGCTGTACCGGGCATACATGAAGAGTAAGAATCCAGTCTGAACTGTAACAAAAAGTATAACGATTGTGCTAGGAATCCGAATCCTTGCCATTCTCACCGAGGAAAAGCAATGTAAAAAGCTGAAAAAGAGAAGGAAAATGCTGGTGAACCATTGCTCCTGTGGCACAGTAATGATATAAGTTACACAACAGAAACTCTTGCATTAGTAAAACCTTTCTTCAAATATGTATGTATGTGTTTGGCACTATTTTCTTCCTTAATCAGTGGTACTGGGAGATGATCATCTGCAGGTGACAGGTGTTGGAAACTGAGAGAAAGGAACGCGTGACAGTAAGATCACAGCAGAAATACGTTTGGAGCAAACGTTTGATGCTGAAGGAAACCTTGGGTTGATGCAGCTCAACTGTTGGAGAGGAAAAAAAAAAAAAAAAAAAAAAATTACGAAATACATAATGCCCTCAACTTTAATTCTGGTAAATACTGCTGAGGGGAAAACAAAACAAAACAAAACAACCTTTCTGATTCGCTCCACTGCATTCCCATTTCAGTGTAAAATTACACGGGCTACTATCCCTTAAAGGCAGTAGACAGAAACATCACTAATTGTGGCTACTGAAATAAAAATCATCTTAACTAATATGAATGCTGTGCCCTGAAGTAACAGAAGGGCGCTACACCAATTGACTCTTGTGCACAACCCTCTATTTTCCAAATTGCAGGAGATGGGTGAAAACTCACAACCTGAAGCCACAGCTGGCCACCAGTGTTAAAATGAAAAAGCAGCTGATGTGTGTGTCTCTTTACTAGAGGTTTTTGGTGCCTACTCCTTTGTGCTCTCACTTTCGCAGATTCCACTTGTAAGCAGTCAGTGTATGTTAGCAGGTACGCTATTAGGAAAATAAGAATCCTCATGTATGAAGATCATCTAGAGAGTTTTACATATAAGCATTTAGACATTTTTCTTCTCGTTACAGTGAAAGGTCCATATATCAACACACTTTGGACTCTTGAAAGTAAACCATGCAGACTAAAGAATACAGATACACACTCATTTGCGATCATAAATGCATTAAGTTCTCAGTGCTAGCCTAATGAAACACGAAAAGGACTATTAATTAGTACCAAAAGCTGAAATAAATGGTCAAGTAAAAGAGATAGTAGACATAGGCAGTTTTGGCTCCTTCCACCGCCTAAATCTCTTCATGATATAAAGAAATGCATTCTGTCTTAAGTGACCACAATTTTGCTGTTAACATTTTGTTTGTAAGCCAAGAAAAACAGTAAAAATATGAGCGGAGTAGGAAAAGGGAGCCAATAAAAGCATCTACGTTCAGTGTCATACAGTATCTTGTAAGGAGAATAAGGCAAATGAGTAAGGTACTAACTTGCTTGTGGAAGTTTTTCTCTCAAAGGGCCATCTCTCACTTGTAAGATACAGAAGCACAGAATCATTTAGGTTGGAAAATACCTTTAAGATCATCGAGTCCAACCATAAACCGAACACTGCCAAGTCCACCACTAAACCATGTCCCTAACTGCCACATCTACAGGTCTTTTAAATACCTCCGGACCTGTCACATCAGGAGATGCTGGAGCTGAGTAAGGCAGCCCAGTCTGCCCCTGTACAACAACCAGCGCAACTAAGAAAAGGCAACGGGTGAGTAGTAGTAGGCAACTCTCTTCTGAGAGGTACAGAGGCACCATCTGCTGATGTGATGCGCTCTCTAGGGAGGTGTGCTGCTTACCAGAGGCTCATATCAGGGATGTCACCGAGAGACTACTGAACCTCATACTGACTATTACATACACGGGCTATTAGGCTGCTGCTGTTGTTTCACAGGGGCACCAGTGATACAGCCAGGAGCAGTCAGAGGAGTATCAAGAAGAATTACAGAGCCCTGGGAGCGGCAATAAGGCACTCCGGAGCGCAGGTAGTTTTCTCATCAGCCCTCCCCGTCAAAGGGAATGGGTTTGAAAGGGCCAGTCAAATCTAGCAACCCAACAATTGATTACGGGCCTGGTGCCACAGCCAGGAGTTTGGCTCCTTGGACCATGGGACTCGCTTTGAGATACCTGGTCTACCTGGGGCTGATGGGGTCCATCTGTCAGAGAAAGGGAAGAGCATCTTTGGTCACAGGCTTGCCAAGCTGACGAAGAGGGATTTAAACTAAAGTTGCCAGGGAAGGGGAACCTCAACGCATCCCACTCCTACCAGTTCAATGCCAGTGCCAGCAATAGGTGCCCAGAGCCTGGAGGGGGATCACAGGTCGGCAGGAGAGCACCCAAAGAGCCGCACAAAGGAGTTCCAAGCCAGTAAGTCAGCTTCACTGGGGGCCCAGCTTAAATGCCTCTATTCAAATGAACATAGTCTGGGGAATAAACCAGAGGAGTTAAGAGACGTGCGTATGCCTGCAGGGCTACAATTTTATTGGCATCACGGAGTCATGGTGGAATGACTCCTATGACTGGAGTGTTGGAATAGAAGGATATAGGCTCTTTAGGAAGGACAGGCAGGTGAGGGAAGGGGGGGGGGGGTCGCCCTCTATGTCAACAACCACTTGGAGTGCATTGAGCTCTGCCTGGGGTTGGATGAGGACCTGACGGAGAGCTTATGGGTCAGAATCAAAGGGAGGCCAGGGACAGGAGATGTTATAATGGGGATCTGCTACAGGCCAGCCGACCAGGAAGACTGAGTAGATGAGGCCCTCTATAGACAGACAGGAGCAACCTCATGTTCACAAGCCCTGGTCCTCGTGGGGGGCTTCAACCACCCTGATAGCTCTTGGAGGGACAATACTGCAGCGCAAAAGCGATCCACGAGGTTCCTGGAATGCGTGGATAATAACTTCCTTTTCCAGGTGACAGAGGAGCCAATGAGGAAAGGCGCTATGCTGGACTTTGTTCTCACCGACAAGGAGGGGTTGGTGGGGACTGTGAAGCTCAAGGGCAGCCATGGCTGCAGTGACCATGAAGTGGTGGAGTTCAAGATCCTTAAGGTGGAGAGGGGGACACATACAAAGCTCGCAACCCTGAATTTCAGAACGGACTTTGGCCTCTTCAGGGATCTGCTTGGCAGAATAACATGGGATAAAGCCCTGGACCAAAGAGGGGCCCGAGAAAGCTAGTTATTATTCAAGGATCACCTCCTCCAAGCTCAGGAGTGATACATCCCGACAAAGACTAGGTCAGGTAAGACTGCCAGGAGGCCTGCATGGATGAAGAAGGAGCTCCTGGACAAGCTTAAACATAAAAAGGAAGCCTACAGAAGGTGGAAGTAAGGACAGGGAGCCTAGGAGGAATATAGATAAACTGTCTGAGTAAACAGGGATCAGGTTAAGAAGGCCAAAGCCCTGACAGAATTAAATCTGGCCAGGGATGTCAAGGGCAACAAAAAAAACTTTTACTTTCATACATCAGTAATAAAAGGAAGACTAACCACCCAAGACACAGAAAGCAAAGGCAGGGACTGGGAGAATGAAGAACCATCCACTGTAGGAAAAGATCAGTTTCGAGAACGTCTAAGGAACCTGAAGGTGCACAAGCGCATGGGACCCGACGGAAAACATCTGTGGGTTCTGAGGGAACCGGCGGATGAAGAGGCTAAGCCACTATCCATCACGGAAGCCACGGCAGTCCAGTGAAGTTCCTCCTAACTGGAAAAGGGGAAACATAACCCCCCATTTATAAAAAGGGAAAAAAGGAAGACCCGGGGACCTAGAGGTCTCACCTCTGTGCCCAACAAGATTGTAGAGTGGATCCTCCTGGAAACTACGTTAGGGCACATGGAAAATATGGAGGCGACTGGTGACAGCCAACATGACTTCACTAAGGGCAAATCATGCCTGACAAATTTGGTGGTCCTCTACAATGAGGTTACAGCACTGGTGGATAAGGGAAGAGCAACTGATGTCATCTACCTGGACTTGTGCAAAGCATCTGATACCGTCCTGCACGACATCCTTGTCTCTGAATTGGAGAGACATGGATTTGATGGATGGATCGCTCAGTGGGTAAGGAATTGGCTGGATCATCGCACTCAAAGTGTTGCAGACAAAGGCTCAACGTGCAAGCAGAGAGCAGTGATGACTGGCATTCCTCAGGGGTCAGTACTTCTTAAGCTATTTGTTAGTGACATCAACAATAGGATTGAGCGCTGTCTCGGCACATTTGCCAACAGCACCAAGCTGTGTGGTGTGGTCGACACGTTGGAGGGAAGGGGAGCCATCCAGAGGGACCTTGACAGGCGGGCCTGTGCAAACCCTCATGAAGTTTAACAAGGCCAAATGCAAGGTCCTGTACACGGGTCAAGGCAATCCCATGCACACATACAGGCTGGGTGATGAATGGGTTGAGAGCAGCCCTGCAGAGAAGGACTCGGGGGCATTAGTGGATGGAAAATTGAGTATGAGCCATCAATGTGCGCTCACAGCCAAGAAAGCCAACCGTATCCTGGGCTGCATCAAGAGAAGCATGGCTAGCAGGTTGAAGGAGGTGATTCTCCCCTTCTACTCTGCTCTCGTGAGACCCCCCCTGCAGTACTGTGTCCAGCTCGGGGGCCCCCAACAGCAGAAGGACACAGACCTGCTCCAGCTGGTCCAGAGGAGGGCCATGAAGATGATCAGAGGGCTGGAGCACCTCCCCTATGAGAACAGGCTGAGAGAGTTGGGGTTGTTTAACCTAGAGAAGGTTCTGGAGAGACCTCATAGCAGCCTTCCAGTACCTAAAGGAGGCTTACAGGAAAGATGGGGAGGGACTCTTTGTCAGGGACTGCAGGGATAGGATGAGGGGTAATGGCTGTAAACTGAAAGAGGGGCGATTTAGGTTAGATATAAGGAAGAAAGTATTTACTGCGAGGGTGTTGAAACACTGGAACAGGTTGCCCAGAGAAACTGTGGATGCTCCCCTCCCTGGAAGTGTTCAAGGCTAGGTTGGATGGGGCTCTGAGCAACCTGGTCTGGTGGAAGTTGTCCCTGCCCATGGCAGGGGGGTTGGAACTAGATCATCTTTAAGGTCCCTTCCAACCCAAATCATTCTATGAATTTATGATTCTACGGTGACTCAGCCCCTTCCCTGGACAGCCTGTTCCAATGCTTGATAACCCTTTTGGAGAAGAAATTTTTCCTAGTATCCAATTTACACCTCCTCTGGCGCAACTCGAGGCCATTTCCTCTCGTCCTATCACTTATTACTTGGGAAAAGAGACAGACACCCATCTCGCTTCACCTTCCTTTCAGGTAGTTGTAGGGAGTGATAAGGTCTCCCCTGAGCCTCCAGTTTTGCAGACTAAACAACCCCAGTTCCTTCAGCCACTCCTCACAGGACTTGTTCTCTAGACCCTTCACCAGCTTCCTCACTCTTCTTTGGATGCAAAGTTCTGTATACTCTTTACGTAAGCTCCAGTTTACACCCACTCAGCTAAAAATGCCTTTTTACTGTTTTATTATGTTCCCTACTTCACCATACAATCCGTTTCTGTAGCTCAGCAACAGTATTTACTTATCTCCCAAACTATGGTTATCACCAAGTTTTTACTGGTTGTGCTGCCCACTGAGGCAAGGCCCTTTTCTCCAGTGGTTCCACATTCTCATCAACTCTGTGCAAATCTGTGACATATGACTGCAACAGCACCTCCTAGGAATAAAACCCACAGTCCTCTAAGCCTCTCTTGCATAGTCCCAATGCTTATCAGATGTTCTGCCAAGCTGTTTCGGTCTGCTAGCTCAGAAGAAAGCTACACGCTCATTTTATTTCGCCTAACTCTTTAGCGTTGAAACAACTCAGCTCAGCACAGCACAGACCAGTGCTGGAGCTGGAAGACAGTAGGGAACAAAAAGGCATAGAAGTTAAAGAGAGTGGGAGAGCCCCATACCACAGCTGGAAACAGAACACAGCCTGAGCCATGAACACAGGTCTTCAAACTAATCAGTATTATTCCTTTTGACCACCTACTGTGTATTCATGTCACAAAATCATTTCCATGGATTTTTCAGGTGGAGTCATGCTAGGCCTCCCCTGTGATAGGTCTCTCAAGCCTACCGGGTCACTGCTCACATTACAGTAGCATGCAGCTAACTGCCAAGCTTACAAAATATAAAGGAACAGTGAAAGGGATAAACCCACGCAACTCATGTGAAACAAACTGAAAGAAAAAAAAAAAAAAAGCCCACATCTTTCTCATCGAGCTGGTACAATTCTTCTGTCATTTCAAAGTAGAGATTAAAGGACCCTGGTTCGTCTCACAGAATCACAGAACATCTGAGGTTGGCAGGCAACTCATGTAGGTCATCTGGTCCAACCCCTCCCTGCCAAAGCCACCTACAGCCGGTTGCCCAGGACCATGTCCAGACAGCTTTTGAGGTGGGAGACTCCACAACCTCTCTGGGCAGCCTGTGCCAATGCTCCATCACCCATACAATATAAAAGTGTTTCCTGATTTTCAGAGGGAACCTCCTCTGCTTCAGTTTGTGCCCACTGCCTCTGGTCCTGCCACTGGGAACCACTGAAAACAGCCTTGCTCCATCTTCTTTACAGCCTCCCTTCAGATATTTATAAACATTGATAAGACCTCCCAAGATCAGCCACTCCTCCCAGTTTCCTATGATCAGCAATCTTGCCGAGAGTATACTCTTCTCCATCATCCAGATCATTAATGAAGATGTTAAACAGGATTGGATCCTGTACTGACCCCTGGGGTACACCACTAGTTACTGGCTTTCAACGAGACTTTGTTCCACTGACTGCCACCCTGCGGGCCTAGCCTTCAGCTAGTTTTCAATCCACCTCACTGACCGCTCATCCAGCCCATACTTCACCAGCTTCTCCATACAGTAAAACCTTTATCGTTTTAACATCAAGATGACTTTTTTCTTTTTAAAAATATCAAAATGGGACAAAAAAAAATATGTAGGTATATTTCCATATTCCTACCTGAGAGGACAGTACAATTGTAACGGCACGTTCATAAATAACCTTATTTTTCAGGGCCAGGTTCACAAGCAAATTCAAAGCCACAGAAAGAACACACCTTTTTACAAGACCGAGATGTCAATATATTAATTCAAATCACTACTAATATATCCAGGCAGACAAGCATGGAAAAAAGTAGTCCAGTGTCCTTTTTCTGCTCTGGCAATGGTGTCTGGACAGCAAACAAATGTGTCGCCAATTTTTGGCAGTGTGATGGGGGGTGGGGTGTCTGTGAACCAAATACACTACGAGTTGGCTTTTGTATTTTGCTGCACAAGCAATATGAAAGCTGTACTTTAAAGGGAACTAAAGAACGACAGGTGTAGTCTGGCCTATAAACTGATACCTTGGCACTACACTAAACCATTAAATGTTTATTGTGGAATTACTGGGCCCTTGGCATAGCTCCGAGATCTCCTGATGTGGGTCCCAACTAGTCCTGACTCTATATGGGATCAATTACTTTATTTAGAGCATAATATTTTGCATGCTAATTTGCCCATGATAGCTCCTCAAGAAAATAGAGCAGAATACATTAAGGTGTGCAGATCAAAGACAGTCAATGACTTCTGTAAAAGGAATACTGAAGTGACTATCACTCTTCAGCCTGCAAGAGAGGCTCCCCGGACAGGAAAATTACAAGTGTCCTGGAGAGAGCAACTGCAAAAACATTCTCACGAATGCTCAGAACATGAAAATTGGGAGAATTCAATTAAATGATCACTCGTGACAAAACCTTTTTGTACACTGCATCATAAAAATTTGAAACTCTGCCTCAGAATGATGTGGCAGCAACAGTATACAAGAATTCAACAAATGACTACATTGATTTAAAGTAATTAATGGAAGGAGAGCCTCTCAAGGACTGTTAAATGCAAAAACGAGGCTAGAGCTGGTGGCTTAGCAATTCCCTAAACTATAGATGGCCCAAGGTATCTGCCTGCACCTGGGAGGTATACTAAGAGAAATCACATTTCCTGTATTTTTTTTTTTTTTCCATAGCAATCCACTACTTACTATTGTCAGGCACAAGAGCATATAGATAAACTTGTGGTTTTAATTCACCACGGCCATTCTTCATCGATAAAAGTTGCCTGTTGAAATAGTAAATTTTTGCTTATCATGTCACCAGAAGCATCTATAAGCTGTGAGGATTATCAGCAGTCCAGGAGCCTGCACTGACACGTTGTCAAACAGAGGTGAAGAAGGAATCTAAGCGAAAGTGGAAGAGCAGTTGAACTTTCTAGTTCAAGGAGTTATCCTGAAACAGATCCTATGCCTGAAAGCCAGCCAGCCGTAACTACCTCAAATCTCTTTCCCATCTGCAAAACACTAGCCATTTTCTGCACTAAGACTGGATTCTGCAGCTCCTCACAGTCTAACCCATGACATAGCTTTTAGAGACCCAGCGATGCTTTTTAAAGAATCAATATGCTTCTACTCTAGCTACACAGAACCGTTGCTCCACTCTAGTCAAGATCACTCTGCAGAAATGCAAAGAGTAATTGTTCTTTATACCTTACTGGTGAGTTGTGGGGGAGTGAGGAATGAAACCATGCACGTGTGAATTTAAAAAACTGGCTTTTGGCTTGGCATCTGCCTTGACTGCCACTCGAACCTCTCCTCGCTCTGATTCCCACCCAAGTGCTGTTACAGACAGTAACTGCGCTAACCAAAAAAACCTGCTAACATGAGTATTGGTCCATAATTTGTGTCTGAACAAGTCTGCCCACCATAAGCACCACAAATAATATGTAAAATGACCATAGCTAAAGTAGTTCCCTACTCTTCGGTATGATATAAGCTGCAAGGAAAAGTAAAGCACTAAGTAGATATCCATTTTTCAGTATTTAAGATTCATCTTCTATCCTTTTGAGAAAGTTGGGATATTTCTAAGGAATATGCACACACGCAGACACCACAAAGACATTATTAATTACACAACAAAATGCAGCATCTGTAAGAGCATTTATAAATCTACTTTATAGATTACATTATATCATTACCTTAATCGTCAGGGACAGGACCTCGTGGTACAGGCTGCTCCTTCTGATCCTCTATTTATTCCACTGCAGGGCTCACCAGAGGGTGCTGTTAGGCAAGTCCGTTCTTCCAGCACAGAAAGGCAATAAGCCAAAACTGCATTAGTTATTAAGTGAAACACTAGTCCATGACTTGCTCGACATTGCTTTGCATTGCCTCGACTTTAGTTTTGCCAGTGTCCTCCGCCTCTGCCTACAACTCAGCAGCACTACACCTGCCTTTCCCAAGCTCCCCTCAGGAGAGCTAAAAAGGGGCTCGTTCCCACCTCCTTTCTTCCCTCTTTGCTTCATAGCAGTGCTTCCTTGTGGCTGCACCTGTCTGACCAGAGCAGGCCTGCTGACTAAAAACAGGGGCAGAAAAGGGAGAAGCACCAGAGGGGCCAGATGTCTTAGCACTAAGCCACTTCAGACTCCATCTCAGTGACAAAACCCTCTAGCAAGCACCTCCCCATCGACTCATGAAATCAGACTGACCAGAAGTGTCAAGGGAGCTACAAGAGCCTGAAAAACAGACTGAGGGACATCAAGTTGCAGCACAGAGCACTCCAACACCTTCTGCATCTCTCAGCTGAGATGTCTGAAGCATTGCAATACTTGATGGTATCACAATACATGCTTTTGTACATAATGAATACTGCTAAGCATAAATTATTTTAGTAACAGTTACGATGTTATTCCTTTTCTCTGACAGAAGTATTATTTCTTTTGTGGCACTATTTCTTCAGGGAGAGCTCCGGCAAACAGCAGAATAATCAAAAGTCTAATTCTAACACATTCCTGAGGCAGAACCATCTCTTCACAAGCCAATGCAAATTTCAAAATACGATCTGAAAAGCATCTGCACATACAGTTTAGCTGACAGTCCTGAGCCAAGCTCTGTCACCGGGCTTGTCTGCTAACAGCTACTAATGGAAACAAGATCCTGGACTAGATGAACCCAGGGTCTGCCCAGAGTAACTATTCTTACACATTGTGCAAAGGAAATTAATCATACAAACTGGCCAACAGAGCAATGGTTTTCTTCATCACTTAATCTGGCTCTGATAGAATGTTAAGCTGCAGGCCCACTAGCATCTGCCATTGCTTGCCAAGTGACTAGATACATTACAGAAAGCTATCCAGTTTTACCAGGCAGGGTAAAAATACAGTGAGTGGCAGTATTGATTCCAGAAAGCTTGTTTCCTCAACAGAGCACTTTTCAGACCCAGAATTGTAGAAAAGAACAGAGAAGGAAAGAAATAAATTGTGCAGTGGACGATCGTTTAGCTCTTGCTTTCAGGGACTTTTATTTGTTTGTCACATAAGACAAGTAATGTTGGAGTCGAGTAATCAGATCTTTGCAGGTCAGCATTGAAAGGAACACAATTCCTCAGCGAACTTCCTTTCAGTACAAAATTCAACCTGAGAAGATCTAGTAAATTAACAAAAATTAACTTTACAGCTTTAAAAAACAAAATAGGCCCTCCTATTATGCTGCTCTTTTTTTTTTTTTTTTTTTTCTGAGATACTAAAAAGACTGTAAAAGGACAGAGAGTGCCTCACGTTAGAGCTGTAAAGAAACGCAGGCTCTCGTTGAGTTGAAATTGTTGAAAGATTCCCTCAGATCAAACAGGTCTGGGTCTGTTGTGGGAAGACTGAAAAATCTGGCTGGAATAAAGCAAAACAACTGAGAGAAGAATTACAAGTACCTGCTCCCCTAAAATGAATTCTGAGCAACCGAATCTTAACTGTCTTTGTCAAAGTCTTCCTCGGCCATTTTGTGTCTGAGAAAGTTTCCAGCGTGCTTTCATTTAGAACAGTTTATGCAGCACTTTTAAAGCCAAAGTCTTTACAGATTACATGGAAATTACTTCAACTTCCACAAAATGCAACAGTACACATTCATTTAATTTCCCAGACAAGTCTCTTTCAGTGAAGAATTAATATCTAATGCTGTATTATGTGCTCAACCTTTTGCTAGCCAAAAATTATTTTGTCCTGTATGCTTGTCATACCCTGAATTCTGACTTTCAGAACAATCAAAAGAGTTGAATATAAGTATCATTTATGTACTTACAATTCACCACAACACCTCAGTACTGAACTGTGAAAAGAATAATGGTGTCGTCATGCATTTTATAGAATTAATAGGAAAATGTTTGTGCATGGTGTGATAAACAGAGCAACGATCACGTGAAGGTCTACTATACCTGATGGTGAAGTTTACACGCTACATCACCTATAAGGCATCGCACCAATGCAACCACCACCAGAATGGCGTCTGAGCTAACGTTAGAAACATAGTTTGCTGCTCAAAAGTGAAACGCAGCAACGTGACAAAGCTGTTCCAAGATGCACAACAATATTACTAGTAATTCTTGCTATAGATCACCCAACTGTCAAAACGTCACTTTCCAGTGTTCTTCCACGGCTAGAAATGACACATCTTCACAAGGCAAAAGCTTACTGTATCGCCAACAATATGCAGATTGGTCTTTGAATGGATAAAGGAAAAGTTAGTTTGGAGAGTGTCTTCTATAACCACTGGTACTTCAAAAAGAGTTAAAAGTCTTTCCAATAGCTGATCATTACTAATAATAGTTGAAAGAAGTAATAAGCCTGCTTGATTTTTTTTATTACAACAGTAAAACTGCAACAGAAATAAAAAAAAAAAAAAAAGTACAGTAAACATACTATAATGAGACATTTTGATTTCTGACATTATATTGGCATTTCAGCTGATAGCGTTAATTTAGCTCTTGAAAAAATACTTCCTTTTACAATCTAGTGGAAAATAAGATTGGAAGAGTTGCTTCCAGGTAATCATCAGGCTTAAATACTTTATAATACAATGAAACAACATGGATTTCATGATACAACCATAAAAATGATTTTTCAAAAAGGTACTGTGGCAGTGTTGAGGCACAGCCCTACTGCACTTATTTCTTCATGCAACGCAGATGAAGATCGCCAAGTGTTTTCAGCTACTAGAATTACCCCTATTCGAGAAATAAGGTCTGCTCAGCTGCAGTTTTTCTTAGGAATTTTTACTATTTTTAAGGATGGCAAACGTGGGGTGACAAAGAGACACTCGCAGTGACTGAATGCTATTCGCTTAGAGACTTTGCCTGAATCAATACAACAGTACCCTGAAATTCAGTCTGAGGACAAATGGGCTGACATGTGCCCTGCATGCCCCACCGAAGCAACCAGTGCAATTAAGAAACAACGACAAATTCTTCTGTCCAGCATGTCACTTTCACCTAGAAACAGAGGCTGGACACAGGAGGAAAAAGGGAAGCGATATTCTGGAATGATGGGAAATGTTCTTTAAGGCACCTGATTTCACCATCTAACTCCAGCAAATAAAACCACCTTAACCCGAATCAGTCATGTTCTCTAGGGGAAAACAAAAACAAAGCAAAACAAACAAACAAGGCTGATATTCAACAGCTTTACCTCTGTCAACAACTGATTACACCTCAAACAACGCCCGTCTGGGGACTGTGCGACGCCGGCACCGTTGAGCCCGCCACACCGGGATATTGCCGCTACTTCACCGGCACGAGTAGGGGAGCGTGCGAACGCCTTAAAAACATCCCCAGAAACGCAGTGCGATTATAAACACCGCTGTTAAATACCGAAAAAAAGGTCTGTCATCGCCCGGCTCGCCGACCTGGAACGATGAGCCCTGTGGGGACACCCCCAACCCTCGCCGGCCTGCCCGTACCTTCCCGCCGCCTCTCGGCACCGCCGCGGATCCGAGCTGCCTACAGAGACAATGAGTTGCTTTCAGACGTGGCCGAGGCGCCGGGGCAGCGGGAGGAGCCCGGGAAGGAACCGATCCGCCCCGTACCCGGAGCATCCCCGGGCAAAGGCGCAGGAAGGGCAGGGGCGGCCCGTCCGCCCGCCACGCCCCGCGCAGCACAACACACGGCCGCACAAGTGGGGCAACTGCGCCCGCCCCGCCGCCAGCAAACGGCGGAGAGCCTCCTGCAAACGCGCGCCTACGGCTCGGGCGCTCCACCTCGGGCAGACGCCACCCGGTCCGTGAGGGCCCGGCAGCCTTACCGGAGCCGTCCCGTTGCAGCGTCGCCGGCGCGCTGCATCGCCCAGTGGCCTGCGCCGTCCGGCACGCGGCCCGCGCCGCCCCACGGCCTCTCCCCCGCGGCGCTCCCCAGCGCCTCAGGCCCGCCCGCCACAACCGACCGCCCGCGCCGCCGCCGCCGCCGCCTTCCCCTCCCCTCCGGCCGGCCCCAGGGCCCACCCCCGGCTCAGGGGCAGCCCCACAGGGCTCGGCGCGGCCTCGTGCTGCCTAACGCGCGAGAACGAAAACGTCCGACGCCCGCAAAGGGATTGCTTGGTTAGTTTAGAAAGAAGTAGGGGTGGTTTCTTTCATCCTAGCATCGCCCCTTAGAAAACTCCTGAGGCATGGCTCTTACACGTCCACATTCCCACTTTTATTTATTCGCGGGACTTTTAACCAGCTACTTTTTCCTCTTACGAGAGCCACTTACGCAAATCTGATTAATCCTAACATGTCCCTGTGTCCTTCCTCAATGAACAGCGTTCAGATTGCTCTCTGGCATGCATGTAGGCAGATCTGTGTAGTAGCACTGTGGTGGATCGCAGTGATACTTTTGTCTACTTTCTGTTGCATAGCAAGCTAAAGGATGAGTCCTTGCAGAGAACCTTCCAAGAAAGACAACTCCTTCCTGAAGTTCCTTTAACGCTAGTTGCAGTGGATTCTCGGGTGTAGTTTTTCCTTGTACTTCAGTTTATTGATACAGCCATAAAATCTTACCTACCTTTTTTCTATTGCTTGGTTAGTTACAAAAGTAGAATGCCTCTCCAAGCTTGAAAATGGAGTCATAACTACGAACAGGGAACTATGGCCAGCATAAAAGAGATCCAGAAAGTTACCACAGCAGAGGTATTACAAACAGGGCTTTTCCCTTCCTGTAGTCACATCTGCCTTTACTGCTCCTTTTACACTGCGTTTGTTGATTAGTCCCACATGTAAAACATGCCTCTTTCAAAAGAAATGGAGAGATTGCTTCAGGTCATCTAAACAGTTGCATACCACCTGCAAGCAATTAACTCTTATTTCCTCCTCTTAACTTAAATAGTTCTATTAAATTACTGTAGAAGGGTTTTTCCAGCTTTCTCCTTCTAAAGCAAAACAGAACATAAGGATATTTCTCTATTTCCTGAACCAGACCTATTCACAATTTCTTACCTCGCATTCACTGAACTGTTGCTCTGAGCAGCGTCATTTGTCATAATGTGGAAGGATGTAATAGAGAAAAGTGAGGTAGAGATAATGGAGACTCACAGTATTATTGTTGTTTTCTGACATTATCCTCTTTCACGTTCCAGTTGCTACCTTAAATAGGCTTCTGTTCAGCTTGGAGGACTGTTACGCATTCCATTTCTGTGAGAGTACAACAGCTCAAAGCCTTAAAATGGGGTTCTATGGTCTCTCCAGAGATTTCCATCCCTTGCCCAACCTCACGCCTGTGCAGACACATACCAAGTTCATTCATGGAACTGACTTGCCTGAAAAAGTGAGTATATTTGGTAAAGATGATAATCGCTATAACAAACTCCCTGAATTAACTCATGCAGTCATGGAAGCACTATCACCACTGCAAGGGAGAAGAGCTGGGACTACAGCAGACCAGACATACATCAGCTTGAGCTACTGGCCCCTTCGTTCACCCTGTGTAGTGCCTAGAAACACTACAAAGCAGTAGATAGTTGCTTTGACTTTGTGCACTCTGGTACAAAGCCAATTATCAGTAGTCCTAGGCTGCCAGGTACAGACTTCAAAGATCAAAGAGTACACTGGAGATTTCAAACCTATATATATAGACATATATATGTATATACAGCAAATGCTCCTTGCAATAATTTACAATTCACATCTAAGTACATAATTTTCACACGCACTAAAAGTGTGTTGAATAACCAAGACACGGCTCCCTACGTGAATGTTTCACTTGCATTGAAGAGTAGGCTAGAGTCCATCCAGCATGTAAAACTTGGGAGAAATGCAAGTTGCGAGAGTACAAAGTTTCAAACTTCTATTTAAGCTTATTTTAAAAGTTGGCTGTTTTGAGAAGGAGAAAAGACAAATGAATAGGCAGGTCTCTAAACTGCCAGGATGTTGAATTCTAGAAGACAATGGCCAAAAGGTGGGGTACTGCTATAAAAGTTACATTTTCACATTTCATAGCTGCACCAGGTCTTAAGAGTTCAAGAGAACCAAATACACTCAGAATTTTGTTAACTAGCATCTAGAATTGTTTTAGACTGTCTCCTGCCGTAACACTGCTTTGCTAGAATTAAATTTTAACTGCAAAACTGGAAACATAATAGAAATTTTGCTGTCTTCCCTTGTAAGCTTGTCTGGCATAAGCAGTAAGCCCAGAAATAGAAAATAAAGTTAAATAATCTTCCCTACCACCCACACCCCCATCAAAAATAAGGGACATAATCACCTGCTGAGCAATGAAAGACTGTATTTTATTTATTTTTTTTTCTGTTCCAAGTGATCATTTAAGTTCCAAAAGTAATTATTCACTTGTTTTGGAACTCCGAAGCTTCTCTGTTACTTTTGTTTGTTTGGGGTTTTTTGTGTGTTTTTTTTTTTGTTTTGTTTTTGTTTTTTGTTTTGTTAGTTTTATTTAAATAAATACCAGGCTTCTCTCTTTTACTACTCCTGATTTACAAATAATGGTCTTGTGCTGCAGTAATAATGCCAATAGTAAATGATTGTAAAAACCTCTCATACGCTATCATGCAGATCCCAGTTTCTCACATCAACCTTGAATTTATCCATCATCCAATAACTAAACCAGTTAGCATCTACAGGCACAGCTGCAGAAGTGCAGCTCTGACCTTAACTCATCCATCCATTTTTTCACATTCCTTGTATTTTCTTCTTTCATAGGGCACATAAATGCATGTACACATAGCACTTGACAGACCTCTAACTCAGCAGTGAATTAATTCACAAGACAGTAAAAATGGCTTATGTTGTTAGCATATTATTTTCAGTCTTCCAGGTTGAGCAAAATTAAGATCATGCAAAAGCAGTCTCGTTGCCTTCTAATGGTTACTGAAGCATATTCCAGTTCCAAAACCAAACCAAAACAAAACAAAAAAAAAAATCACCACAGAATCATAGAATGGTTTGGGTTGAAAGGGACCTTAAAGGTCATCTAGTTTCAACCCTCCTGCCATGGGCAAGGACCCCTTCCACTAGACCAAGTCGCTCAAAGCCCCATCCAACCTGGCCTTGAACACTTCCAGGGAGGGTAGCAACCACAGCTTCTCTGGGTAACCTGTTCCAGTGTCTCAGCACCCTCACAGTAAAGAATTTCTTCCTTACATCTAATCTAAATCTACCCTCTTTCAGTTCAAAGCCGCTACCCCTTGTTCTATCCCTGCAGTCCCTGACAAAGAGTCCCTCCCCATCTTTCATGTAGGCCCCGTTTAAGTACTGGAATGCTGCTATGAAGTCTCCTCAGAGCCTTGTCTTCTCTAGGCTGAGCAACCCCAACTCTCATCCTGTCCTTGTAGGGGAGATACTTCAGCCCCCGATAACCTTCGTGGCCTCCTCTGGACCCGCTCGAGGTTCTTTAACTGTCAAAAATATTAAAATTTTCAGTCCCAAAACAGTGTTCCCAGAGAACCAGATGAATGAACATGTATTTCAAACGGAAGCATGAACAGAACATACTTGGAACACACTTACAAAATTCTGATCTTCTGAAGTAAAAAGCATATTGAGAATAAAAGTAGGTATCCTTGAACTGCATTTCTTTAAAGTGTTCTCAGGCATCTCCTCAGCACTGGTGCTGTTTGTAGGACAGTACTGGAGACGGCGGCAGAACTGGTGATATTTGAGTCGTAGTCAAGACCTGATTCTGGAACACAAACATTTTAATCCTACCAAATACCCAAAGAAAGATAAGGAGAATGCTGACATACTGGATCCAGGCAAATTTAATAATTTCCCAAAATCCTGGCTGATATTTAAAGAAAGTCAAGGATTGTTAATGAAGAAGCTTCTGATACTACCACTGCAATAACTAAACAAAGGAACTCAGAGGTGGAAAGGCACAAAACTTGTTAGACTTCAGTTTGTGTGGCAAATGCAAAGCCTTTGAGCCATGGAACCCCTAAAAGCCTTTTACGGCAGTATATAACAAAAGCTGCAGAGATTGTCTGCCCTAGAAGACATTTAAACCAATTGTGTGAAAAGTGCTTATTTCAACCCTGACTCATCAGAAAGTAGTTATTGGTAATACTCAGACAGGTAAACAAACCTCATACAAGGTGTGCTCCATACAGATATTTTTAAACGCAAGCTTGATCTTCTCTGAGAAAATCAGTAAAGAGTGTAAGGAATGAAGAATTATTTTGTAGACAAGAAAATTTCAGGTCTGTCTGCACATGTAACAGAGTTGCCACATCCACTGCGGGGGCAGGGGGCGTTATTATTTGGTGAGCTTACCTTGCATACAGATTTCTAATGATTTGCCTTAGGTCACAGAATACAGCATCATGCTTTAATAGTGCCATCCATGACAGATTGGGACACCAGGTGGTACAAGAGCAAAGAAAGACTTACTGAGGATATTAATGAATGGCTAAGAAACTGCCTTAAAGGCCAAGTTAGTAAGGCTGAAAAGCCACACAGGTTCCCGGTAGAGAAAGACAAAAAGTGGTTATGCAAGCAGAACCATCTGGAGAAACAGGTATCCAGTTAACTCCAGAATTACGGCATTTGCTTAGCTAACAAAGGAAAAGTTTAGCAACAAGTCTAGAAGAAAACAGTATTCATTTGGCCTATATGTGAAGGTCCAAATAATGCAACCCAGTTATGTTACAGTTTATGCAGTTTTCAAAGGATATAAGATAACTTCCACTGGGTAATGAATAGTAGCGTTAATGATAAATGGTGTATCTGTAGCTCTTCCAGTCATCCAAACAGGGTTGGGATCTGAAAAGACTGTTGTCACTAAAATGGGAAAGAAAACATCCAGGTTAAGGGGCTTTTCAGTCTTAATACAGAATTCAAATCCCCAGAGAACCGCTGCTAATATACTAACTACTGCTGTCCTGAAATTTGCAGCTATACATTCAGGCTTACCATTTCTATCCCAGTATGATGCAATGATGTTTGTTAGATCATAGTCATTCGCAAAAGGACTCGTGCCATTGACCACAGACACCTGTTACAACAAGGAGATACCTGCATTATCAAGAAAGTCATTCTACCAAGTTTCTTGAGCAAAGTTACCATGCCCTTGAGGGAATGCACATAAACATCAGACTGAACATCTTGGCAGAATAACCTCTTCCACCTTTCAGCCTAACAAGAAAACACCAGTTCCAAAGTTCTAGGGTCCACTCTGTGCAGGAGTGCAAATAATTAGGCTGTCTCCTTTGCTGCTAGGGTGATAAAGAAGGGGAGAAATTGATGGGGAAGAAAAAAAAGTTTCCTCACATTGTATCTGGTATCCAGTCCACAATGGTTAAGTAATTGCCTCTGGTTCAATTTCAGGTCTCCGTTCACATAGAGCTGAGACCCTGGCACAGGAGAAAAAAACTGAAGAAAAGCCATGCTCTGCATCACAAATGTTGACATCCTCTGAAATGATGAACACAAGAAAAGAGAATTTAGGGATGCACGGAAACACAACACACTTTTCTACCTCTTTGTATCTACAGATTTTCTGCATGGATTTGATTTTTTTCTGACTCCCAGGTTTCAGTTTGTTACATTCGTCTAAACAAGGGAACACCAAATAAGTAATATGAATTACTTTTTTTTAAGTAAACTACCCTGGTCGTTAGTGAACTACCTTTATAAATCAAACCAAGTTCCACAGAAAAGTCAATGAAGTCCAGCAGTCTGTGTCCAATGACAGAATTATTTGACTTGCCACAACATGTGAAAAGCAGCAAGACGACTAAACATACTCATTGGAGACACACTTTAAAATACTTGGCAGTCAAAGCCAGCTAAGGACTCCTGCTCTGCAATAAGAACCAAACAAGAAAGTTCCGTAGCCCTTATCAACCACTCAGTCTGAAGGAAAATTTTCACATTTACTGCAAAACAAAAGTACTGTGAATATCAGCATTCTCTATGATACTAACCACTGACAGTGCTTCAGCACAACGTAGAACTGTTAGGCCTTTACTTTGGGCCTCAGGTTTAAGAATGTTTTCTATACCACACAGCCATGCTTGCTAAGCTTGTCCATCTGCAATCAGCAAAAGTCTCCTGGATAAACTAAGCCTAATCTCCCTAGTAAAACAACTTCTTGTCTGTGCGGCTGCATCCACCAGAGCAACTGCTCCTTTCAGATGCATCCATGGGTTCTCTGTGCACTAGTGTTTTATTCACTGTTTTAGGTATTAATTGCACTGCTACCTGAAATACAATGGTGGCAGAATTTTATTTTCCCGTCTCCCTATAAAAACCGTCTTCCCCCTCCCAGTTACAAGATACAGAAGATCCTGGCAGATGACTAACATTGCTTTAAGAGCTGTTAAGTAAACAAAATCTATGAACTTTTAGGCTGCTGCAACAGCCTGCCCCTCCACCTCAGAAAAGTAACAGGTTATGTCAAGACACAGCAGTATGTAAGAATGCACATCCTTCTGCCTACTGCAAGACTCTCAGTCATTTCCTGATGCCACCCACAGACATCCACTGTTGTGCATCCCTGTCATCTATGCTGCCCTACAGCCCAAGAGAAGACACAGCTTTAAAAAAAAACATTAAAAAAAAAAAAATCAAACAAAACATATCAAAATATGCAACAGAGCTAGACTAGGAATGATCCGGCAGAGGAGGAGAAAATTAAGTCTTTGTTAGTAAAATAAATCTTTTAGATAGGAATTTAAACGTTGAAAGGTTCTTTCATCCTTTCCATAACCACTACTGGAATATTACACTGGATCTGTGTGTCACAACAAATAAAACTAAAAATGCTTACATAAAGCTGGTAGGAAAAGAGTAGAATCAGCTGAACACCAACTACATGCTCTGTAGGTTGTAGCGGAAGTTCCAATTTAAAATGCAGCTGATCCATTTTGCCATCTAGATTTTTGTCTTCTTCTCTAGTCTAAAAGAATCAGTAATATCTTTTTAAAGACAGGTACTCCTGGTAGAAAGAAAACCAAAAAAGGTAAAATCGCAGGGGACCTCCATAACTGCAGCATACTCATACTAAGGAAGCAAATAAACTGCACAGTTAGGAAAACAATCAAAAGCTGCTTGACTTCACAGGCACAGGACTAGAGACAAGCAAGAAGCCTGCAATTTTGTCTGTTATACAATGTCTCATATGCCCCTCAGGGAGGAAAAGCTCATCAGACTCAAGGTCTCTTCTGCTCTATGCTGTTCCAACCATCTCCCCTGCATGCTACAAAGATTGCCTTAGTGCTGAAATCTTTGCCACATCCTGTGCAACTGTGTGACTGATGACCAAGCTTCTCCTGCTTGCCATTGCAGCCTGCCTCTTAATGTCAATTCCTGGTTGCGAGCCAAGGCTTGCTACGCTTTTGTGCCACAAATGCCCAGGACTTCACCTATTTCCAAGCATAACAGGACTGATAACAGTCAGCAAAATAACTGCTACCATTGAATCCCAGTAGGAACAATGGTTGCAGGGCAGAGGCTATGTGCTGTGTAAGCACATACCTGCTTTAAAAAACAGAGGCTACCCAGCAACCTCTGCAAACTTCAGATCATGATAAGCCATATGGCAGGGAGGGGGGAATCATGACTAATTTGAGGAAAGTAAACCGATGTGTTCGTGCACACCACCAGTGGCACACAGAAACACGGTTCAGTTTAGACTTGGAGTTTTGTGGTTCGACGTGACCATCCTAAGGGTCTCTTCCAACCTAAATGAGTCTATGATTCTGTAACACTGAGAGGGAGTAAAACTGGTCTGGTTCAAAATCACTTGTCCCAAGTGAATTTTACTGGGAGGTACGAGATTATACATGCTGCCGATAAGCCGTCCGCTCACAAGCACCGCCAACACTCACACCACCGGCCCGCTGCCGTTCCCCCGGTCCCACTCTCCTGCCCCGCTTCCCACCACCGCTGCCGGGCCCGCCCCGGGCAGGCCTACCGACAGGAGTGGGACTCGCAGCCGGTCCTCCTGGAGCCTGTTGAACGCTGGGAACGTGCTCCACGCCAAGAAGTTGCCCGGCCCTGGCCCGACGGTGGCCACAAAGAGCACCTCGTACCGGAACCGCACCGTGGGCTGCTCCAGATACGCACTCTGCTTCAGCCAGAAACCTGCAGGCAGAGACAGCGCGAGGCCTCAGGACGGCGCCGCGTCGGGCCGGGCCGGGCCGCGCCGCGCCGCACGGGGATGAGCGGCGCTCACCGTGGCTCCGGTAGGCCACTAGCAGCGGCGGCACGTAGGTGAGCACCGTGATGAGCAACAGCGCCAGCGCCGCGGCGGAGCAGAGTCCGGCCCGGTAGCGCGTGTGGAGCGCAGGGTGTGAGAACAGTTCCACGCCGGCCATCGCGACCCGTCCGTCGCAGCCCGCGGCCTCGCCGTGGCAACGGCAGACCGCCTGACTGACGGGACGCCGCGCCTATTAGCACGTCAGGGCGCCGAAGGGGAACGGGCGCGCCAGCCAATGAGCGTGTTCCGCTGCATTCCGAGACCGACGACTGCGGAAGAGCGCCCGGGAACGGCAGCGGGACGGAGACGAGGGCAGCCGCCACAGCGACGGAACGCACGATGCACCTTAGAACGCCTCGGGCGGGGCCCACGTGCGGCCTCGCACCGCCAGGTGACCGCACGGCCGGATGCTACCGCCCCACCCCTCGATCCCCCGGCCGGAACCGCTGCGCTTTGAGTGGTTGCTAGGAAACCGGCTAGCCGGAAGTCCCGCCTGCCGAGCCGGGGCTGTTGTTGTTGTGACGGGGACCGTGACAGCGACAGGCCCGGCCGCCCGGCACGAGCCCCCGCCCGACCGCACACGGGCCTCGCCGCCGCCGGCTCCGCTTCCCGTCGGTCTGCACCATGAAGTGGATGTTCAAGGAGGACCACGCGCTGGGTAAGGGTGGGCCCGGGCCAGGCGCCGCGCGCCGGCGGCCCCGCCGCCCTCCGTCTCCTGTGTCGCCATCGGCCCCGGGGCCTCCCGACTCTGTGTGCCCCGGTCGGCTCCCCGAGCCGGTCGTCTTACCTCTGGGCAGACAGCCACCCGCGGCCCTCGCCAAAGGGTGGCGCGATGCCCGGGGACGGCCTCCCTGAACAGCTGGAGACCCCCTCTGGAGGGGGCAAGACGGTCGCCATCCCCGCGGGCTTCCGTTCCTGCGGCCGCTGCCCTCTCTGCCTAGGACACGGGCGGTACTATCACTATGCAGTGACTAATTGCGAGTTTTGTTCACAGAGCACAGATGTGTCGAGTCGGCAAAAATCCGAGCCAAATACCCTGACCGTGTCCCGGTGAGTAACCAAGCCAGCTTCATCTGAGTATCTAGAGGCAAAGGTGGATAAGCTGTTTCCATCTTAACCTCTCTTCTTTGATCAGATCCTACTAAGTAAACTCACCTTACCTTTTGCGTTCTTACATGTTTTAAAGAGTCTCCAGACACACCTAACTCATCTAACATTCCCCCCTCTACCCCAGTGCATATCGACAAGCGAGAGCACCTGGCTGTCTAAGCACTTTTCAGGCATCTTTATGGTTTATCGGTGTCATGGTTTCTTCTAACGGCCATTATATCCCAACAAATACCTTTGGTGTCTTGAGAATTCATTCTGTGCCTGATCCCAAGAAAGATCATAAAATCTTTAAATTTTGACAACCTTCCATCCTAGCTATATGAGGAAGGTGGTTTGTCCCTCATGTATTCCATACCTATAACCAGACTTACTGTGGTGAATCCCCCCATGCAAACACTGTTGTTTGTCACATTCTGAACTGCAGCTGTAGTCTTACGGTTTTTTAAATCAGCTGCCTACATTGCTGGATTATCTGGCAGTATAAGTCTGGTACAGCAGAGGCACACAGACAAAAATCACATCACAGCACCTTTCTGGTGATTTGGTGAAGTGATCAGCTGGCATCCTTGGCAGGCCAACTGATAATCCAGAGCATACTGCAGCCGTGCTTCATTTATTTTCCTTGAGGCATTGGTGAGCCTGGCTGAAGTGCTTGGTGGCTAGCTGTGGGAAGTCAGTAATCATTGCCAGATTAATTATAGAAATGCAGAGTATGGATATCAAAAGCAGTACTGCAAAGCACTGTAAAAAAAATGAGTATGTGGTCTATGCCCAACTAGAACCTTGCATTATACCACAGTTCACACTGCAACTATCAGAGTTTTGACTGTATTCAGATAAACGTGGCTTCTTCAACTCTGCGATGAGTTACCTGAGGTATGCGTGTGCCTCTACTTAGCATGAGTTTCTGACATACCGGTACGTGTTGTGCGATGGTACAGTATGCTGCACAGATTAATATGAAAGACTTCAGGGAAAAAAAAAAAAAAAAGTCATAATGAATACTCTGATGCTCTAGATGGAAGCCTAAGAGCCATTTTGGCATCTCTGGCTTCTGCACAACAGGTGAAATGGCAGATTAGATACTAGACTGGTGGTTCTCCCTCCTATTTACCTAAATATTGATTTTTTAGCTTCCACGTTACAGAAATTTATTTATAATATTTCTTCCTTTTTTTCTTTTGCTATATGCCGTATCAAGGCAGTTGGTTCTCTCATCTGCTAGGAGCAACTTGGGATGTTGTTTAAAGAAGACAGTTAAATTGGAAGGGTGGAGGCGATGTGTATATTAAAGCTGTATTTCGTCGTATTGTGGGATTTTATTTAGTCATGTGAGGATTTAAAAGAGGATAGGGCATGGCTGTTGCAAACTAGAATTCTATGTAACGTGAGATTTCAAGCAGTGATGCTCATACTTCCACGTCTTCTGAGGAGCAGCTAAGGACTCTGAGTTTGTCTAGTTTGGAGGAGGCTGAGGGGTGGCCTCATCATTCTTTACAGCTTCCTTAGGAAGGGATATGGAGAGGGAGGTGCTTATCTCTTCTCTATGGTATCCAGTGACAGGAGGCATGGGAATGGTTCAAAGCTGCATCAGGAGAGGTTCAGGCTTGACAGGGGGAAGCACTGCTTTACCGAGAGGGTGGTCAAACCCTGGAACAGGCTTCCTGGAGGTGGTCAATGCTCCATGCCTATCAGTGTTTAAGAGGCATTTGAACAATGCCCTTAATAACATGCTTTAATTTTTGGTCAGCCCTTAAGTAGTTAGGCAGTTAGACTAGATGACTGTGGTAGGTCCCTTGCAACTCAACTATTCTGTTGTATTCTGCTTTCTTTTTACATTGTGATAGTGACAAAACCAATGTAAGCAGCATCTGTACAAAGGGGATGCACTTCCTCAGATCACCTGACATTGATCAGGTACCAGCACTGAAGACTACTTGAATTTTTCATTACTCCACTACAGCTGAATGGGGCAAGGAAGAAATATAGTTAAATGGATTCCTCGGTTTGTTACTATCAACTGGAGTAAGTGAGAAGACAGACATCCTGGACTCCTTACTTCAATCACCAATTAGTTTAAGGGAAGTAGTGCAGACAAGCCACTCCTAAACTTGAAGTTTTCAATCTGCCTGTGCTTTGAAGGTCTCAGCAGACACCAGTTCCTCTCTGCCCCCGCCCCCCAAGCTTCTGTCACAGAATACACTATTTTCGGATAGTGCACATGGGGAACTTCAGAACATTTTGAAAACTAGCCGTATTTAAACACAATAGGATGTTACTGTACCGGTATGAATAAATCACAGAATCGCAGAACAGCTGAAGTGGGAAGGGACCTCCAGAGATCATCTGGTCTAACCCCTCCCTGCTAAAGCAGGGCCACCTCCAAAGTGGGAGACTCCACAGCCTCTCTGGGCAACCTCTGCCAGCGCTCTGTCACTCGCACGGTAAGAAGGTGTTTCCTGATGTTCAGAGGGAACCCCCTGTGTTTCCGTCTGTGCCCACTGCCTCTTGTCCTGCCCCTGGGCACCACCGAAAACAGCCTAGCTCCATTTTCCTTGCACCTTCTCTTCAGGTATTTATACCATTGATAAGATCCTCCTCCGAGCCTTCTCTTCTCTAGGCTGAACACAGTCCCAGCTCTCCCAGCCTTTCCTCACAGGAGAGATGCTCCAGTCCCTGAAATATCTTCGAGGCCCTTTGTTGGGCTCTCTCCAGTATGTCCATGTCTCTCTTGTACCAAGGAGCCCAGAACTGGACACAGCACTCCAGGTGTGGCCTCACCGGTGCCAGGACAGAGGAAAGATCACCTCCCTGGACCTGCTGGCATTACTTTGCTGAACGCAGCCCAGGATACCATTAGTCTTCTTTCCTGCCAGGGCACAGTGCTGGCTCACGTTCAACTTGGGGTCCACACTGCAGTATTAAAATAGGCATATACTTTCCTGTCACAAGATTCTTTTGGGTATATTGCATCTTTTTACCCCATGATTATCAACCTTGGGCATAGGAAGTTTTGAGCCATTGTGTATATGAATGTAGGTTTCATTGCAGTTGTTAAATCAGGTTTTACAGTGCTGAGCCAGTCCTACCTCTCACGTGGTTGTGGTCAAGAAATCTTTTTGTTCCTCCCCTCTGCTCACTGTTGTAAGCCTATACCAGCGAGCAATTTACCAAATTCATACCATTTTCATACCAATCCTGAAAAGCCTGACCTTCACACCTGCACTTTACAGGTCATAGTGGAGAAGGTCTCAGGATCTCAGATTGTTGATATTGACAAGAGGAAGTACTTAGTTCCATCTGACATCACCGTGGCCCAGTTCATGTGGATCATCAGGAAGAGGATTCAGCTGCCATCTGAGAAAGCAATATTCCTCTTTGTAGACAAGACTGTCCCACAGTCCAGGTGAGAGGCTATTCGTTTGCTATTCAGAACCTTTTCAGGAAGCCTGTACGTATCAGAAGGATAGTAAGCCCCTTATTTGAGGCTTATTTGGTGATTTCAGGAGGTGTTTAGTTACATCGTAATCTCACTGTGATAGGTTTTGTTCCTCACAAGTTTGATAAACATCTTACTGCTATAGCTAGGCTGAAAGGAAAGGTGACTGAAAAATACATTACGATTTCCTCCCATAGCAAGAGGGTGAGCTCTGGAGTTACTAAAGTATCTTTAATTGAGTGCAAGAACATTTACATCATCAATGCCAAAAAAATAAATCATGCTCAATGTAACAAAAGTGTTGCATGTTAAATACTGAAAAGCAAACACCATAAATTATTCTGAAAAAAACATTAACCTGTCAGCTCATAAAGATATTATGACATTACAGACTAGTTGCTGTTACTTGTTTTAAAAATTACTTACTTTCCTCTCTAAAAACAAAATGCAAAATTACTGTAGAAGGGTTTTTCACATTGCTTTTATATAGGAGTAAGTTTCATTGTAGTCTGCTACATACAGAATAATATATAGCAGAAGCAGCTACTACAACTGCTTTTTATATGAGATACTTTAATAGTATTTGAGGAAATAGCACGTCATGATGTTATGTGTCTTAGATATATTATTATTAATCCTTACCTGTGTAACAGCAATAGCCCCTCCAGGTAACCTGTCCAGACTCAGTCAGGAATATTTTTATTTACTTTGTGATACACAATAGGGACCTGTGAGAACCCTCTTCTGCTTGCTTTCTTCTAAGAATATTAGGAATGCCTATATGTTATCTTCTTAACAATGCTGTAGAACTGCTAGGAACAGAAAAGAAAAAGGGCACATTGTCTCATCTCACTTGTTCATGATGGGATGTCACATCTCTGGTGGAAAAATAGGGTCTTGAACCTTCAATATTAATCCAAAAATGGTAACTTTTTAACAGATAAACAAAAATCTCATCTGTTAATGGCTCTGCTCCTCTCATAGACTGAGTTTATTACATAGACCCTTAACTCTTCACATCCTTCTCTCCTAATCCAGATGTTTATTTATTACTCACCAATTCCCTGCCATTTCAAGTACTGCCTGCAACTCTTCCCAGCTCCTCTCTTGGGTAAAAAGCCATGATCGTTTTCCCTGTTATGCACATTCAGTGCGCATCTTTCAGTTCACTAGCCTTTTCTCAGTCTCAGGAAGTCAGAGAAAGGTGAGCTGAGGAGGTCTCATTTGTGCAACTGACTGATGGCAAGTGCCCGTTTCACCTGTAGATAGATGGTTGGAGCAGTTGTACTGGCCAAGTAGTTACTTGGGTTTCTTTTTGTTTTCAAAATACGGACATTGCCGTAAAGACCAGAACTGCTTTGACTGTGGAGGGCCACGTGTATTCAGTTTAAGAAAATTTTAATTTGATCAAACATTTAAAATCTTGTCCACTGAAAAAGCACTAGTTTCTGGCTAACTTGTAATTTATTGCCCACATGTTTTGGTACTAGCACTAAGTCATCACTTTTTAACAACATGGAAAACAAAGTTTTTACTCCCGAAATGAACTGGGACCTCAGAGAAACAGTCCAAAAAGTGCAAGTCTGATAGGCTTGAGACCAGCTGAACGTTCATGACTACACTGGGTGGGGGGAGAAATAAGGTTGCTCACACTAGAAGAAAAACAGTAATGCAGCTGCATGCAAGCAAGGTGCTATCAGGGCTATCGATCCCAGTATTAGTCACAGCATCAATAACAGATGATTCAGAACCTGAAATACATTCAGTGACTAATTTCCAATAAAATAAGGAAGCGTTCTGACAAATGCGTTTGTGAAGAAGTAACAAAAACCTAGACACTCTGCAGAGAGCCCAGGATCATTTTGCTAACTCAGGAGTCAACTGCTTTTTATATAGCCTCTTTTTTTTTTTTTTTTTTTTTTTTGTTAATTTACACACAGACTTACAAGTTTTAGCTTTTCTTCATCCTTGTTTGTGTGAGGTTGTAACTTACCATTTGCAACTGTCATGATCCAAGCAAACAGTTTCTCTTTTTTCCCCCTTCAAGCTTAACTATGGGACAACTTTATGAGAAGGAAAAGGATGAGGATGGATTCTTGTATGTTGCCTACAGTGGAGAGAACACATTTGGTTTCTGAATGGTGGGTCTTGGCTACTATACCATCCTGCTGTGTATCTTGTAAATAGCTGATCATTTTCTGTTCTGACATCCACAGAAGTTCCTTCTATATACATGCATTTGTAACTGGATTTATTTCTTAATATATTGATAGGTCTTGTTTTATTAGACTGTTAAATTATCAAAAAAAAAGTTTTGTTGTTTTTGTGTATTTTTTTTCTCATGGCTATGAATTCCCAGAGCCTCACTGCTTTGGGCGATACGTTTGATAACAGTGATTAAATAATAAAGCAAAGTAGTTGGGCTACTAAAACATGAAGAATATGCATTTATTCTGTTTTGAGGTGTTAGTTTCAGAAAAATAAAACCATTAAATTAGTGTTGGGAACACTGGATTTGCTAGCTTATCTTAAGAAGGAGCAAGATGCTGATCGTGTTGAATTGAGCTAATATGTTCCTCTTTCTCAATTAACAAACAAGTACAATAAAAATTCCTGTCACAAACAGGCAGTGCTGTCATTTCTTTACCTGTTATACATCACATTTACTAGACACTCTACAGCTGCTTATGTTATTTACTAGACGCTGTACAGCTTCTCAACCTTTAGAATGTGGATGATGATACAAGGAGGAAACAAGGAGCTATTTATAGGTTCCAAAACCAATTGCTTTAGAGATACTCAATCTCATCAGAAGAGCTATGCCTGCCCACAGGCTATCAACAGAGAAGCAAATGCCATGGGCTCTGGAAAACAGACCTAGGTGACAAAAGCATAGCATGTAAGGAAAGGGCACCTAAGGAGAAGGAATGATACAAACAGGAGACCGGAGAGCTGGAGAACTGGAAGGTATAATTCGTACATGAGTTATTACAGATAGAGAAATCATTGGTAAGGAGTTCAGATTAAAACATGCACAAGCATGAGCAGCTCTTAAAACAAACAAAACCAAAACACAAGAAAACAGTCTTGTATTACATGTAGTTATATAAACATACATGTCCTTTCCAAGTAAAAATTCTGTGGATATTGTAAGGTCATCACAGGACCAAGTATGTGAAAAAACAATTTTACTATACAGCCGAGTGGTACAGTTGACATGCCTGAGTGACAGGATGCCATTCAGAGGGACCTAAACAAGCTCTAGAAGTGAGCCCATGTGAACCTCATGAGGTTTGACAAGGCCAAGTGCAAGGTCATGCACCTGGACTGGGGAAACCCCCACCATCAATACAGGCTGGGGGATGAAGGGACTGAGAGCAGCTGTGCAGAGAAGGACTCAGGGGAACTGGTGGATGAAAAACTGAGTACGAGCCAGCAATGTGCGCTCACAGCTCGGAAAGCCGACCGTGTCCTGGACTGCATCAAGAGAAGCATGGCCGGAAGGTTGAGGGAGGGGATTCTCTCCTTCTACTCTACTCTGGTGCTATTCCACCTGGACTACTGCGTCCAGCTCTGGAGTCCTCAGTACAGGACAGACATGGACCTACTGGAACAGGTCCAGAGGAGGGCCACAAAAATTATCAGAGGGCTGGAACACCTCTCCTGTGAGGAAAGGCTGAGAGCGTTGGGGTTCTTTAGCCTGGAGAAAAGAAGGCTCCAGGGAGACTTTAATTGAAGCTTTTCAATACTTAAAGGGAGCTTATAAGAAAGACAGGGACAGACTTTTTAATGGTTTTAAACTAAAAGAGGGTAGATTCAAACTAGATAGAAGAAATTCTTTTTATCGTGAGGGTGGTGAAACACTGGAACAGGTTGCAGATGCCCCATCCTTGGAAACATTCAAGGTCAGGCTGGACAGGGCTTTGAGCAACCTGATCGAGTTGAAGATGTCCCTGTTCATTGCAGAAGGGTTGGACTAGCTGACCTTTAAAAGCCCCTTCCAACGCAAACATTTCTATGATTCTACTTGGTTGAGGCAGACAACTAGAATTAGAAATGCTGTATGCAAGAAAGAATTCAAGATCAGTTCCTCTAGTTTATGAGCACTATAGCCAAAGTACATACACAGCACAGCAAAAATAAAGAGGCTTTGCCACAAAACCAAAAAAATTTGTTATTCATGAGGCTCTCAACTTCTCTCCAAATGGGTTTACCATAGTTACACAGCTACCTCTACTTACATGCAATGAGGCAAACTTGTGGCTCTGAATGGGGAGGGAGGGGGAGGGCACAGAAAAATCATCTAATTGACCTAATTTGCACAGTATTGGAGTGCATGCTTTGATTTTAACGGAGAACACTGAGTTGGTAAAGTAGCATCACTTTGAACTTCATAAGCCAACAAGGAAACACTAATTACAGTTTAGATTCCTAATAAAAGTTTTATTTTGTTTTCACGCTACATGGTGTGGGAGAGTTTAGTTTCTAAAACGGTTCCGCTTACAGTGGAAATTTATCACTTTCCAAGCTTAAATCAAATTCATACTAACTCAAAGTCCCATGAAGCCACCTTGTGCCTAGAATTATGTTTGGCTCTACAGTTATGCACAGGGACTGACAGGAGGACTCCAAAATGAGAAGGTAGGAGCCTATGAAATGTTGACGCTACTCTATTATTGAGGCTTGTCACAGTAACAGTGCTGCATGTGCTTACTGTCTCTTAAAATGTGCAGTAAGCCCTTCATTATTCACAATAGCACTGCAAGGTACAGCACTGCCTTAGTAAACATTCATCGCTAATTTCTCCCACATGCTCTCTTTCCACACATTTAGTATTAATGTTTACTCTTAACAGAATTTTTGTTTCAGAATGAAGAAAAGTGGTTTCATCTGTGGGGTTTTTTTTTATTATCTTTTATTACTGGAAAATATTCTGTTTCCTTTAAGCTGAAACTTCAGTTTGTCTATGTTTATCAAGTAGTATTTTTTGCTAGCTGTTAAGGACAGAGTAAGAAGTGTAACTTACAAGTGCTAGATAAAGCTAATTACATGCTAGCACAGAGATATATTCAAACAAAACAAGGGAAGATGTAGTTTTATTCCCAATGCTATCATCAAGGTGACTTTTGCAATACCCTTCATAAGCCTCTAAAAACACCACATATCTACTCTCTTGAATGTCTCTGTAATTATTACTTAGATTTAGGAGACCGGGTATACAAGTAGTTACAGAGAATGCAAGGATAAATGTTCTACAGCAGTAACTTTACTTTTCATCTGCAGATGCACTTAAAATGTCAATAAAACATCAAGATATTTCCTTTATAAATGCATTGAAGAAATGCATCCTTTTAGAAAGTACAGTCACTTTTTTTAAAATTATTAAAATCGTTTGGGTTCCATATGATCTTCACTTTCTGTTAACCCTTCAGGACTGGAAAGGCATTTCAATTTATACACTGAAGAGAAAACAAAGAAATACCTCACTGTTTCTACAGCAACACTTCTACATCACCTATCTTTAAGCTAACTTGAAATTCCACTTCTGATATAACTAAACCAGCACTAGATGAATTTAGACTGTCTTTCCTCAAGAACCATCTTTCTTACATCTGTAAACCACTGCTGCAACTCTATTACAATGACATTATCAGATTCTTGGGATGGTTATGCTTTGAGAGAAAGATCTGCTAGGCCCCTCAACTACATTTGGCTCCCAATTTTACTACACCACCTTTATTTCCTCCTTACTAACAGTAGCTTCCCAGCAGTAACTCATGCTTCATTTCTGTACTCATGCCTCATGCATTTTCTCCAGGTGTGTTTTCATAACAAGCTCATAGTTTGTAACAAGCAAAAGTAAGCCTGGCTACGCCTCATCCTGCCCTCTAGGTGCAGCCCTAGCAATTCCTCTCCTCTAGTGCTTACTGCAAAGCTGATTTAACTCCTAGTGAAAAGCTACACCTTGTTTTGGGCTCATGGTTTGTTCTTCTACAAAGTAATTTGAATGATCTTCAATTTACCCTAGATGTACTTGAGATCAGTGAGTGCTCCAGCTGGTGTAAGGTGAGCAGCGGAATCACATCACAAAGATGAAAACCTTGCTTTCTGTAAAGGTAGTGGACTCTGCCATGCTGTCTCATGAACTGCAGGCTCCAGCTCAGATTGTTTACTTCTACAGTTGGATAAAACCACTTGCTCTGCTTTTGAGTTCCTTAAAGATATGCAGGCAGTCTGCCCGGCCTTCTTACTGTGACTGAAAACAGAATGATTTCTCCAATAGTGAAGCTGGTAAAGACATCCCACTCAAAACAAGGATTACAGTTTCTTTGCTCTGGCAAAGAGGGACCATTGGTCCCCATTACTAGTTTGGGAAAGTCAAGGACTTATCTAGGCAATACAAATACGCTCTGCAGAGCATTTTACACATGCCTCCGGAATCTCGGTGCCCTGATATGCTCTGCTGCTCCCATTACCAATCGTTTGGTTGTCCTCATTAACCATGAATTGTGGGCACTTCATCCCCCTTACTTCACCCCACCCGCCTCAACTCAGCTCCCCTGTGGCAGAGTCTTTGCATTCTACTGTCCTCCCTACACCTTGCCTCTCTGTTTTTCAGTGTGTCAGCTATTCCAGTGCAAAGGAGTGATAAGAGCTTGGAGCACATCAACGGCTACCTTCGAGGAGCATTTCTTCCGAAGATCTGCTGACAATGACAAAAGTTGAATTTGCTACCTCTTCCAAAGGCGGAGATTGTGTCCTCTCTTCTCTCTGCATTTTTCCCTTGTGATTTTAGAGCGATTTCTCGATACTGCTTACAGCATTTCCTGACGTTTTGGAATTAAACAGAAGCAGCGTTTAAATACTTATTTTCAATCCCAGAAATGCCTTCCAGTTTAGTATAAGATCCTGCAGGCTTAGCCCCTCAACCTTTTAAATTCTGCTTTGTTTTAGCTCCTTCCCTCTCTTCACGTATTCACTGACTCATTTGGCTTAAATATGTCCTCAACTCCATCCAAACAGTGAGGTTAGAATCAGCGTGCAGCACCTCTAAAACTACTTTTAAACCTGACAAGTAGAAGAAATCAGCAGTCTACAGTTCACAAGTATTTTACAAATGCACAGGACAATCCTACTAGGAACAATCTCTCCTAATAGCAAGCTCAAATTTTAGGAAAGAGTTAAAAGAATTTACATCCTATAACTGCACATCTGAAAACTAGTCCGATGCCAAGACTACAGAACAACTAGCCTTATGTAACCCATTTTAATATTGCAGCTAGATAGGAAATGGGAACATTCCAGCCTGGTCAGCAGGTTCACTACAGACCTTGTTATTAACAAAGGGAAACTAGGTATGTTAAGGTATAGTTTCTGCAAGATTTCAGGGAAAGACAAAGGTAAATTTCAGGAGCCAGGAAATTTACTGGTTATCTCTTTAGGTACACTACGGGACTTTGCCCCTGGAATGCTATTTGCTCAATTACAGTAACTGCTACCATTTCTCTTCAGCAGTTCACCCTATAGCCCACCTACAGCGGCATCTGGCCATTCCTCATCCTCTGATGACTAATGCAAGTCACCATTCTCCATAATCTCCTGCCCTTTAGAAACACATACGACGACTCTCCCCTGACCAATACAACTGGTCTTTCTGCATGTTATTGCTGGATTTGAGAAGACAGGCTTATACACACACAGAACTCAAGTTCTTTGTTATTTCTTCAACAATAAGAGAGAACTATTCTTATTTGACAAGTCAACCCAAGTGTGAAGTAAAAGGATTTGCTGTAATCGATTCCCAGACTGTAATGTGGTAGGTACTGTTCAGTCCCATGTGTAGCTCAGTAGGTTGACTGTAAAGGCTGTTTGGAGAACTGCTGCGCCCATTTTTCAAATCCAAAACTATAGTAAGATACCAAAGAACAGAAAACTTAAATCACTCAAGTATTCTTACGTTCTAAATTATCCACTTCTTTCACGCTGCCATTGCCTTGTCCAAATATTTTATGAATTGTAGTTTACAATGGAAAAAGTACAAAAGCAGAGTGTTCTCAGTAGCAGTTATAGTCCTGAACTTGCTCACAGAAGGCAGTAACTTGGGACAGAAAGTTTAAGGAGGATTACCCTCTGCTTCCCCGCAGCTTGCAATGTTGACTGTTTTCCCGTGCAGATGTTATTTGGTAATAGAGCATAAAGGCAAAGACTGCCAGAGACCACTTTCAGTCCCTGCCAAAGCATCTCCACCTTTGCCAGGCTACTAATGAACACTTGCCAGGAAACAGTGACATAAACGGCTAAGGCATTGCTGCTTTTAAATAACCATATATCATGGGGCAGCAGGGAGATGGACGGTGCTTGAAACGCTGCAAAGAAGGTAAATGTTTCCCTGGAATTACACAGGATTGACAGGATTGAACTAGGTAATTTGGGAGGTTTCTTCCCTGCCCACAGAAGCAAAGCAGTTGAAGAGGTATCTGGCAAAGTCCTGACATTAAGAACGATGCACAGAATATCGTAAGGGATATTATTTGACACAGCCTTCTCCCCAGCACTCTTTTGTTTCTGCTTTGGCTATATTTAGTAAATAGTAGCTGATGTGAAGGACTCCCAGAAAAAAGATGCTTTAACAGAACTAGTATTTCCAGTTAGAAGCAATGGGGCACGGAAAATTCTTCCAGGCACCAGACAAGCAGAGCCAAGAGTTACAGAAATATTACTTACTATACATCAGGGTTGTCCCAGCAACACAAAAACAACCATAACATTATGAAGAGCGGAAGAAAAAAAGCCGCGGTAAAATTTTACAGTGACAGCCTTGCTTCCATAGCACTGCTTCCATTTCAGTTGACGTTACTTCTACTGCAATGGACTATTTTTGCTGATAGATCATATCCTCAGATAACAGAAGATAGCACATCACTGCTTCCTTTCTTTTGTTTCATGCAGCTCAGAACTTTAAGTCAGCAATGATCCTTTTCTGTATTCCACTGAAAAGGGGGCTTCAACTCATCCAAAATAAAGACTCTTCTAAATTGCTTTCCTTTCCACTCCTGTCTCCTTACAGCGTATCAACTAGAGGTCAACTTTTCCTGGTCCCTGAACTGCAAAGGTATCTGCTGTGCACCAGGGCTTATTGCTGGATTTATGCAGCCACATGTATTCTCATGTGAAGTGCAGGTATTCCTTGGCATTCTTGACCCAACCTGGCAGGGCTTGGGTACGCAGCACTTTCCAGGCTTCTTGATAATTTAATGCAGCTTCCTTGTAGTCCCAGTAGGTTTCTAGAGTCTTCATCCTGACAGAAAATGCACAACAATGAAAACATTTCCATTATCATATTGGATGTAATGTCACAAAATGAAAAAAAGCAATCAAACACCTAAGAACATGATGATGCCCTGATGAGGTCTTTCATTCTACTAAGTGAAATTATTGTGTGCTTCTAGGGAGACTGGAAGAGACCCAGGCCCTGAAGCTACTGTATCCAGACACTGTCAGCAGTCTTACAAAAAGAAAGAAAAGGAACCAAAAGAACAACTCCTCCACCGTGCTCCATACACACTCTCCAGCAACAGAAGCATTGGTGTTTGACTGTGTGACAGTAGGTTACAGAAAACTTCCATGGTAGCAAAGAACGTTGAAGCAAAGCAGAAAAGGTGGCTAGAGATAGGTGCTTTGAATTGGGTGGAGGTAGCCTTGTTTTGCTAGCCAAATGGATACAATTGCTGGCTGGAAGGAAAGGGGACAAGGACAAACAGGACAGGGTTTATTTTCCTACACAAAATAACAGGGAAGAGTGAGACAAAGGAGAAAGTACTTTTTATCTTCTCCCTAAAGCAAAAGAGACTCAGCAGTTCCGTTGCTCTGTTCTTTACCCTCATGTAGCACCTGCTCCCCACAATCTCAGTAGAACCACTGGTCGCTGCTGAGTGCATCATACCATCAATTTGCAGAACAGTGAAATTCAGGTCTAGAGTATCTGAACACAAGTGCCTCTAAGACAATTTCATCATGACTTTTTTTCCTTTTCTTGCATGCCTTTCCCAGCCTCTTTTGTCTCCCTTTGCCAAACAGTTTGTCAGCCACACGTGGCATGTAATGTTTACACATTTGACCCAATACGAAGGAAAGATCACAGGCACCATTACCTTCATCAAGAAAGAGGAAGAGTCAAACTACTACAGGACCTCTAGTCTAAAAAGTCTGAGAATCACCACACTAACTTCCAGAATGAGCTTTCATGCTCAAAGGCAATACTGATCACCACCACCCACCCCAAAAAATCCCTCAACAACCCCCCAAAAAAACTAACAGCCCACCATCAGAAGCTGTATTTCAGGCATTCAGCATTCTGCTATAAATGTATTTCTAGAACACTGTGACAAACATAGCAAGCCATGAGATATTATCTATCCTGCAGACCTTTGGTTCAGAAAGTGCAAGAGTGGAGAACCTGTCCATGCCACTGCTGAACATGGCAGATGTATACTCTCTTACAAATCTGCCTGCACTCTTGTCTCCCAGCTAATCCATTTTGCTTTCTTTACCTCTTCCACATTAATCAAACTGTGTGAAACTAACCTCTGAGCTGCTCTGGAAAGTTCCATGGAAAGTCCCACTGTAACTCTCCTCCACCTGGTCAGTGGAACAGACACAGAACCCCATTATCCATGGTGGATCATGGTTTAGGAGCATCACTGAACAGGCAAAAGACCAGCAACTATCTGCATAAGCAGCATTCAGGAAACACCACAGGTCCAAGAAAGGCAAAGGTCAATCCATCACAACCCGCTCCAAAACCATCACACAGGCAAAGCTCTTCCTCTCCTAGGTACTCCAACATGTACCTCAGACATGGTTCAAACCACCTGCATCTTCTCCTCCACCTCAAAACCACCCTCTGGGGAACAATATGCATGCTTACACTTGAGGATAATGACCAAGTCATTCTTTGGGAAGAAATTCTCTTACGCTAGCACTCTTCTTGCACTTAAAAGTACATCTGACACATTTGTTTAAGACTTTGACCTTGCCCTTCTTCACTATAAATGCATCTGATGATACTTGTCCTTTACCATAGAATAGCTAATACCAGATGCTGCTTACACCTTAAAAACACACATACTTGTATTTAGGAGATCACATTGAGGATGGTCAAAGATCAAAAAAGAATTACACAACACACATCTCTGGACTGGCTCAGTCTTGTTAAAGGTGAAACAGCTGCTTCCCTTGCATTTGCTGTAAATGCCCATATATAGATACAGATCCAGATAAAGGTAGATAGACAGACAGGTAGATTCCACCTGACACTAAGCCAAGAGAAAGACTCCAATGCCTAGCTGTTCTTCATTTCTTCCTTGTGAAATGTTGCTCTTTTTCCTGAATCTGCTGGCAGATCAATAGCTCTTCAACTCATATGTAGTAGTCTGAGTCAATTTAACCAAAACACATACGGGATTTTTCTAAACCAGATTATTCCAACAGACCTTTCTTTGGAAATTGTTACAGTAGACAGTAAGGGAAAACATAGCTAGCACAAAAGCAGAATAGACAGTAAGGAACAGCTCAGTATTTTCACCCCACTGTATGAGCTACAAGAGCACATGTGACCGCAGCCTCTTGGGGTCTCATTCTCCAAGCAGACAACATCACTGCAGGATTTAACAGTGGATGCAACAAAGCTGCATTTTAAACAGCTTCCTCAAAGATCTGTCAAAATCAGACAGACTTAATGCAGAAGGTCAGCATGCATTAAAGTTTCTAAGAAATTTTCAACATATATAAAAGAAAAATGCTTTCAAATTCAAAGTACATTATATCTGCGTAAAAACCTCACATGATTTGTCTGCGTCTCAGCTATGGTAGGGCCATTAAGGCTCCGAGCATTACTAATGAAGAACCTGTGACTTTCTGTGGCAGAAGCGAACACTAGTTTGCTGCCCCAGGCAAAATCCAGTACAATCATACAATCTCCAGCCTATCCAGGTCTGCCTAACCACATTCCTTTTGTTTCCCTTTACTATTTAAATCTCAACCCTACACTACTGTGTGAGACAGAGTGATTCTCATGGCTGTGTGGCAGAGACGTGATAGGTGATCCACAGATTTCATTCTGTAAAGTATCACACTCTTGGAAAAAGCCTTATACCGATCACCATTATGCCTGAAAACATTCATGTGCTCAGCCATGTGCAAAACTGAGCAGAAATTGGCTCACAATCAAGACAGGCTGCAAAGGAAAGAAATACACTGCTGCAATACCTTCTCAGCAACAAACGCTACCTTCAGTTTCAAACATTTACATTCAACCCATAAAGTACTTTTGAGATTACAGACCTCTTGCACATGAAAAATATTGATATAAGCACAAGGTAATAACCAAAACATTACTCGTATACAAAAATGAACGAATTGCATCCAAGAGGGCAAAAGCTCACAGACCTTCAATACATAAAACTCCGTCGTGAGACCATAGTGACAGCGGGCCAGGAAACCATACTTGGCCTGATTCTATTAGTATCCTCTTCAATGCTTCAGATAAAATGCAGTCATTGCAGGCAAACTTTGTAATTGACACCAAATTGTTAAGAAGATACAGAATAAAGTCAGAGAGTGAGCTAACTCAATGAGGGAGTTCCACTCAAATACACGCTTTAACAGCAATGTAAGGTTTTGCAGCATTTGGAAGATTGTTACTGCATTGCTATGTCTAGCTTGGGAGAACAGATTTTCAAAGCATTATTGAAAAATTGGAAAATGAGCTTTGCAGCTTTTTCCAATGTCATCTGACGTGGAAAAAATAAATCACACAGAGGAAAAGATATAGAAGCTCGATAGAGTAACTAAAAAAAAAAAAAGCAAGTCTTGAGATAATTATGATGGGTAAATACCTTCACGGGGCAGAAAATATTACTTAATAAAAGGCTCTTCAATCTGGCGAAGACCTAACAAGCATCTGTGGCGTATTATAGAAAAGATTTTCTTAGCTCAGAGGACCTAACTGTTCCACAGGCCTGTATGCAGTGGTAGGACCATCACAGGAATTGTTTAATGTATAAACTTTAAAGAGAAAACAGAAAAGGGACTAGAAAAATTACTAGAAAATTGCAATAAAATTCTTGCCAAACGTGGTTGTTTTCTTTTTTTTTTTTTTTTTAACTGGAAAACAGCAGTAATAGTTCAACTGCACCCCTCCCATGGCTGGCAGTTCCTTACATTCACCCTCAGCCACTCCAGCAGGAAATATTTAGCTGTCACCTGGTGGAATCCTTTTGTTTTTCATAAACAAACACTGCAAAAAATCTTGAACATGAAGGCCAAGCGAAGTTTTTATACTTTAGTCTAGATATTTAAATCTTAAAGCCATCTGAAAGTCCTTGCACTCCTCCGCACAAGAGCCCACTTGAACCATCCATACTGCGGACTGAATGGGAAGGAGGAAGAAAGCACAATCTTAATTGTGACAGCTCCTGACTACAATTTAAGAGGATCAGTCAGCCATTTAACAAGCCCAGCAAGAAACTCAGGGAAGGTTTATGTTAAAATGTCTCCCTTAGATTCAAAGGGTTGCACAGCCAGCCACACCTTGCACAAACAGCAATGCCTGGTGACTTTGTATGGTGGATGCCACTGTATGACAAAAGAAGGCTTTTGCTTCCTCAGGTGATGAACAAGCCGTGGGTTTATTCTACCAGCAGGGAGAAAAACACAACAATGCAGAAAACCTCCTTTGCCATATTACCACCACATAATCTGCAAACAACAATAATACTGCAGAGGTTTTTACATCACAATTCAGATTAGCAATGGCACAACGCTGCCCACTGGTGGGTCATCATTCCTTTGACAGTGAGCATGGAAAATGTGGGGAAAAAAAAATGGATTTATTTAGCAGTAATTTCAAAATATTAACATGAAACAGCACGTGAGAGGGAGTCAAAGGAAGAGAATGAAGAATGGCAGGTGGAGATAAGAGGTTATAAAGAAACAAATGACACTTTAGATAGTCTATCCAGATGAGTGACAATTTAAGTAAGGCACAGAAGACACAGATCAAAGAAATTATCAGAAGGACAAAAGGAAGAGGGACAGCACAATACAGCATTATCTGGTTCCCAGTGAAGAAGTAGCTAATGCCAGCCAAACACTACACCTCCTTCTCACAGTCTCAGCTGAAAGCAAATAAACTAAATCCTGAAAAAAACAACTGCTGAATATTATGCTTAGCATTGTAGCTAAGCTACACTGCTACAAATTCCTAAACTTAGGAGTTTAGGAGAGCCAGGAAAGTTCTGCTCCCTGTAGGCTCTCTACCTGTTCCAATTAAACAGTTCCCACACTGAGCCTCTGGAGAGAAGTGAAGAATGCAAGAGAAAGGAAGGCACAAAAATCAGGAGAAGCAGCTTCAGGATCCAGGGCAGAAAACAAAAGGACATCAGAATCAGTATACTAGTTCCATGTAAAGCCTTAACTGCCCCAGTATCCTAGGTCTGACAGAGGACAACAGTAGATGAAGGGTTAAGTAAAGAATGATCCTTGTCCTAATATACCCTACAACAACCAAGACAAGCTGTTCAGCAAATCTTAAAGGACTACAGAATGAGATTTCCTTGACGAAGCAGAAAGCATGGGAGGCAAAAGACCGAAAAGTAGACTAGAAGAGGCAGGGCAGGAAATTAGGGGCAAAGTGGGAAAACAAAACTGGATGATGGCATAGCACTAGAGCCAACCATCTGTGCGAGGGGATAACAAGATACATATGAATGGGAAGAAAATATAAAACTGGGTAACAGTGAAGTAGACAGGAATTCAGAGAAAACAATTTGAGAGTGTGGGATTTCTTATCTGAAGTCCACTCAAATTCAGACGACAAGGAGTAAAGGAAGAAAAACAAAGAAAACACATCAGAATATCATATAGAAAGAGAAGAAAAAGGAAGCAGCAATACAAAGACTTTTTTTACTTTGCTTTTTATGTGAAGAGTAGGAAAAATAAAGACTTCAAAAGGTAAGCAACCAGACAAGCTGACCGGTGAGCTAGCACCTCTACTGTATAAGTAGAGTTTGTGCAGCCTAAAATTTACGCCACATCTGCAAATCAGCTGGACTTTGTCAGAAGCTCAGACAGAAAAATGGTAGAGGACAAAAAAGTCAAAAGGAAATTACAAAGCCACTGGAGCCTAGAAAAGCCCTGAGGTGAAGTGACTTTATGTATGCAGCACATGATCAGCACAATGAGTCACCTACCCAGCAATGCACCAGCTCACACTATTAGAGGCTAATAATTTTATATTTAAAACTGAATTAAGGAGAAAGGGTATCTCTACATATAGAATCAGTTGGAACCATTTCAGCAACAGCGTGGCTCATGTTGACATCAGAACTTTAAAACAGTTGTGAGACACTTCCACAGATGCAGAAGGTAATCTTTAATTCACAAAAATCAAAAGCAAGCAAGATCTAATAATTAAAGATCCAAGGTGCCTTATTTTGGCTAAGTTCATCTCATCTAATGTCTTGGTAGCATGAAAGGCAGAAATGTCCTATCTCCCCTGCTTCCAGCCACGCATACCTTCCTACATACTTTGCATGGGTTTTATTATCTGTTTTAGCTTTCCATGAGCCAATTCAGCTCATTAATCCGCCAGAAAACACAGAAGACAAGGAAATTGTTTTCTGCCATGTTAGCCAGTTGAACTGGCTCACCATGAGGTTGCAGAAGCACTACCGATACAAGGGAGACAATGGGAATCTACAGCCAGTATCAGCAGAAACTGCTGCAGGACCATCCCCATCGGCAGCTACAAGCAGTTAAATTAGATCAACAGCTGGTAAAATTGCATCCCAGAGCTGGTGAAATCATACCAGGAAATAAGTCTAAAATCAAATAAGCCTTTCAAGGCAATGGATTTGCAACCTTCTACATCTCTCAGAATCCTTAAGCCAAAGTGAGAGATAAGTGTCTGTATATATGAAACTGTGCCCTCCTCTGGGGCTGGAATACCACCAAATACTTAATGCCCATAATACAGTGCCAAACCGGACGATTACGGCAGGAAACTCCCACCTGATAAACCAAACCTGTTTTGAGTAATGTAAGAGAAACATCGAAGTATGGCTTCGCCAGACAAAAGCTTTCTGTTCTTCCTAGAAAGTCTCCATCTAAGTAATGTATGCTTGCAGAAAGAATCCTACATACTATCTCACCTTATTAGCTCTTACTCCATCATACGCTTAGATGAAAAAACATTTTAGCCTAGACTTTTCTAAAAAAAATTTTAAAAATAAATATTTTTTTCCCCTCAAACTATTCCTTCTTGTGAAACAAAGAAGTGGCATTAGATAGCATTACTAAACACCAAACAGATATCAATAACTCCACGACAATTTTGGGATGGGGGGCTTCAGCGCCACCAAGTGTACAGTGCTGCAGGCAGTTGATCTAACAGCTTACATTTTCAAAAAAGATACTACCTCCTCCTCTCATCTCCTTCACTCCTTCTTCCCCAGCAGTCCGCTGCTTCTTTCAGACAAGACCACTTCAACTCAGAAAAAAAAACAAACCAAAACAAAACATCAAAATGTAGTATTTTCTGCCAAGACAGCAGGTTGAAGAGGGCTATAGCAATGTCCAATGACAAGTCTCCACTGAGCAGCAACAGTTTACCCTTTCGAAAAACAGCAAGCCTTCAGAAGAAATCAGCTGCCCCAAATTCTTACCTCCAAACAATCAAACCACCTGCAACTTCTTCTTTCTGTCATTAATACATAAGATGTGATAGCTACTTCTCCAAGGAGATGATTAAAAAGACCAAAAAGGAAAGTCTTCCTAAACCATCAATCACATACCATATTTTTCAACTATTAAATTTTAACAGTGAACTTATCTAAAGTGAGATTCATGATTCATTCTGGCATTGTAACAGTATTCTTGAGTTTTATTAAGATAAATTCACTCTTTTAGATATAACAAAAAAGTCTTTACCGGAGAGTGTCTGGTAGATCCTCTTGTGAAATACTTGTCACTAGCTTTTGGAATGTGTGGAAAAGTTCCACTTTGCAAATCTTGGATCTGATGGGGAAAAAAATAAATAAATAAAATCAGAAATTCTGATGGAAAACAGAAATCAGAAATGCACTTCCTCGTACAGCTCACAGTACTGTATCCCAGCTGAACGTTTCCAATAAAAAAAACATTACGTTCACTTCTCAAAGAATGTACAAAGTACTCCACAATTTAACTTCTCCTACCCCATCTAAGCTGCCCACCCGCCTTTCCCCTTCATTTTAAATGTTATATTGACAAAGAGCTGCATTGCACCCATTGTCCCAGCCAGTGCTCCATCAGCTTGCAGGGAGAACATTTTAATATCCTCACATTGTTATCTGTGTGAGCCTGCACTGTCATAAGCTCACAACTACAGCAAGGTTTAGCCAGAAGGACTAGTCTCAGAACTGATCAAACAAGCACAGAAGGACTTCAAAGGCTTGTTCAAACTGGCAAGCTTTGTATTATTCAGAACAAATAAAAGAACCAGCAGAAACATGTGGAACCATGCTATCCTTTCCACAAAGGTGCCAAGGGCAAATTCAGCAACAGCTACAGGGCAGTTAAATACAAAGAGGGTCATCAAAAAATACAGTGAAAGTTTGAAATGTCTTTTGAAGATACCATACGCATCTCTTGACAGCTTTAAGCCTTTCTCTTCCCCCAAAGAGAAGTCAAACAGAAGAGCTGTTTATAAAGCATGGTTTGTTTTTTGAAAGCCTCAGCTAGTTTCTCCATTTAATTAAATTCTCTTTATACACTTGTCTTAACAATGACTGATTCAGTTCTCCAACATGGGCAACCTGATTCTACAGTAGCACTGAAAAAAACCACCAATCAAAAAAATCTTCCTATTTTGCTAGCATGTTCTTTGAGAACCCCTAAAACATCATCTTCATGTTAATCTGTCAAAGGTTCCTATTGTAGCTTTTGGTGTTTTAGTTAATTTAGGATTAACAAAAACACATACCACACATCTACCTACAAATTCCTTATAGTCAGTCAGCTTTACCTTCCTTGATACTTAGTGTTATCTAGCATAGTGAGACAGGGGAAGGAAAAAAACAAAACAAGACAAAACAAAACAACAAAAATATAAACACCACACCCCATCAATCACCCTAAGATCCCCTGAGGGGAAAAACCAGGGTAGAAATACAAGTCTTGTTTATTATTAAACACACCCACACCCCCCCCCCCTCCAATATGGCTACAAATTCCTCATTTTCATGATAAAAGTTCCTTTTCTGACTATTTATCATGTAAGCATAAACAGTTTACTTATTCCATTGCATTGTTTTTAATCCCAATATCCTAAGGAAACGAGACCTTTGCAATCACAGAGTCTCGTAGGCCCTCCCTAGTAACTTTGGAATGTTTTAGTGAATTCTAAGCACATGTAAAAACGAGAGGAGGACCTCTCAACAGTAAGTTCCTACAGTTTTGTGCAAACTGTCAGCTAGTAGATGGCTCTACAGTTTTAGAGTTGATATACAAATGCAAAGTAACAATTTTAAGCCTATTGAGAAAAAGGGGTTGGTTGTTTGGATCTTTCACACATCTTCTGGAGTACATTACACACCACATGTTGAAAACTAATACTCTACTCTGCACATAAAGCCTGTCTCAAAAGACATGCTAAGTCACCCAGGTCACCTGTGCTAACAATATCCCAGACACCAATACTGGTCACAAATCACAAAGTTCCCAGTCCTCTTCTTTCCAGGAAAAACTTGGAAATACTAGGATTTACCAGGATAAACTTCAGTCAAGTCAGACCTAACTTTGAGAAGCTCAGAATGTGCGACTTGCAGGCACGTGAATGAATTCTCCACAAGAATTGTCTAAACTCTCATTATCGTTTTATTCGCTACTGTCAGGATTATCTTCTTCCTCCCAGAAATCCTGGGAACCACTGATAAATTTGTAGTATAGACAGTCAGCGACCAAAACATGACCCCAACCTTCAAGCTGAACCTTCCACAGAACAATGATAATTTTAGTCACTTCACCTAAACTGAGGAAAGTGTAGAGATGGAGAAATTTGTCTGCAGGTGTTTACAAGTAATTTCTCTCAACCACAAGGAAAATACATAACTGTTTCTTTAAACATATAGCTGATAGAAGGTTATGATGTTTCTTAAAAAGAACACAATGTCAAGACAACAACTGGAAAGGTGGTATGTTTTGTGTTAAGAATTTGCTGCGAGCATTTCACAACATTTTCAAACTTTAAGGCAGAATGTCATATTTCAAAGCAACACTTTTAACAATCATACATAGAGGTTAGCTGGCCTCTTACAGGAAAAGAAATCTGTAAAAAGAGGACCTGCAACACATTTCCTTCAGTCATCAACACAAAAGATACAAAGCAAAAATTCTGCTAACTTCACCAATAAATAAGCTGTCTTTTAATAAAAATTGATCATAGTCCCCTACCACCATTATCTACAATGCTCTCTCTATTCAACATTGACAAAGAAGAAATAGAATAAACTTCTTAGCCCTCACCCAACTTCTGTCGTTCCAACTCCCCTTCTCTCCCCGCTCCCTACCTTTCCCCTTTCTCCCCACTCCCTAGATTTCCTTCTGCTCTGTCAATGCACTACACATCACATAAGCTGACAGAGGCATGTATGCTAACAAATACAATACACGCCTCCAGATATCACAACATTCTCACACCTGCTCTGACGGCTCCCAATTCCTTTCTTTGTTGTTCCCTGACGGAAGCCATCTGAGGTGACATCCAGAGGTTGCTCAGGGACTGCACTCCAACTGATAGCTGTAAAAGAAAGGATGATGAGCAAGGGATGTGCTCTCATCACAAAAGCTGAACTCAACAGTTCCTTTCATTCTATGTGTTCACGTGACACCATGCTGCTTCCCAAAATAATTCAAACTAGAAAGAGGACCGTGGTTCTCTAGGGCCGAGATTCCAGTACCTAAAAGAACAGGTAAATTCTGTTTAATTTAAATAAATAAATAAATAATATACATGCACACAAACACACAGAGCTTTCACCTTAATCAGGTCCTTCAAGTATCCCTGCCTCTAAATATTTGACCACCAGCTTCGTATTTCTCCCCTTTTTAGGGGGATTCTGTATTTTTTTGTGCATCCTGTCCAGACAAAGCATGAAGGAATTTCCAAGTCAGACGGCGTATTTTCATATCAGGCTGTAAAATACTCCCCCCAAGCTACTTGCACCAGTCACTCTGTTTTCCGTATTAATTTATTGTGTGCTATTATTTTATGGTGTATTGTATACTCAGAATTGTTCTCTGTTTGATAACTGACATACATCAAATATCTGTAGACTTTACTTGAAAAACATTATTAGCAAGTAGTCAAAAATAATTTCTTGGAAGAGATAGCAAGTGCCAACAACATTATCCTTTACCCCCGTTCTGATAACCTTATTACCATCTTAGACCATAAATTTCTTAATGCTGAAACTCTGAATATCGTACTGATTTACAAATAACTAGCAAAGCATCAGTAGCATCTTAGCAGAAACAAAACGGATTGAAATGCCCAATCTGTCCCTCCACTGACTAACAACTGTTCCTTTAACTTCTACTGCCTTCCGACAGTTTTCGTTCCTAAGTTCTCCCATTTATCTGTGTTCCTAACAGGCAAAACAGTCGCACGTGCATTAACTCTAAAGACAAATTTCACAGTTTCCCTCCTTCATGATACCATCTTGCCATTCAAGATGCTCCAAAAGTACACATCATAAAGCATATTATAGAGAGATTGATTACATTAATCACACTTGTATTATGATTCAACAGTATGCTGAAATTGCTGTAATCTGCTAACAGTAAGCTGTATGTGCACTGTGATTCAGGTACAATGCTGTATCACTCTACTAAATTAAAATCCTGTGTAATGTCAAATAATATGGAATGCATACAACTGGTATTAAACATTAAACCCTCCACATATGGAGTATTTAAAACCCCCTGGTCAGAGGATATCAGAATCTGATGAGCAGACTAGAATTTACTTAAAGTAAAACATTTTCTGTTCTTTCATTTCTTCATGGTTATCACAAGCTTCAAAATATTAAAGATTGCATTTTTCCTTTTAAAAATACCAGCCGAGATGTTTTTATCAAGCATATTTCAATACTCAGTGTAACAGCCCTGAATTTAGTTTATTCTGAATTTCACCCCTTCCAGAAAAAAAATCAACCTGGCATAACTCATACATGCAAAAAAGTGTGATAAAGCATCATTCATATTTATTTAACAGAATGACCTGAGTAACTGTACAGAAAGAAAGGCATACACAGGAATTTAGACACAGATCTTTATCTATTTAGGCTTCAGATCTTTATCCCTAAGTGAATTGGCACCATTTTTCAATGATGGATTTTGTTTCTTATCTCACAGAATCAAATATTTTCCCTCCTTGCACCTGTAAATAACTCCAATTTAATAAAACTGAATTCCATTAAGGAACCCTTTGTTTCCGTTCTATTTTATCATCAGCTCTATTGTAATAGAATAGCTTCCAGTTCCAATTAAGCCAGAAACAGTGTACAACAGGAGAAGGTAGGCACGTCCAAGTTTCTTTAAACTGCTTAACCATACACATACAGTGGCAGTTTTATTATTTTTATTCCCCTCAAATGAGACCGTGCTGCTAAATCACAGCGTGACTTGCATATTCATTCATCACCATGACAAAAAAATGCAATGTCCAGAGCCTCCATCAATTAAACCTTTACACTATACTACTCTGTATTCCTTCTACGTTCAGAGATTTCTGGAGCAATTACAAACATAACTCAGCATGGCAAGTCTTCTGTTCATTACCAAGGAGAATGCAAAACTAACTGAAACCAGAAGTCTTCTGATATTTCCGTTTTCTTATTGGCCTCAGAACTTCTGCTATCTCTGGTTATTTTCTGTCTTTGTTTAGATTGTAAATGCTTAAGGGCATCAACCAAGTGTTTATTCAGTCTGAAAACTCCCTACAGGGAACAAGAAGCTGATCTGAATATTTATTAATTATTAACAATTAAGTTCCTGCTGAAATTAATTTCTTGCTGTAAGTCACATTTTGCCTCTAGCACTGGCAATGAATGGTATTTCATTTTAAGAAAACAACAAAATCACTGAATTTCTAGTCAGACTGCTGCACACAGTTATGCAACTAGCCCAAGTTAACTCACCTGCACTACAAGGAACAAGTTTTGTTCTGTTGTTAGTTTGAACTTCCTGAATTGCCTGGCGGCTGTGTTCAAATCGAAGATCTGATTGCAGCAGCTTAACCTCCTGAGTGAGAAAACCAGCTGGTAAAAGTGAGATGTGCTGACACCTAAAGTGAACATGCAAAAATGCAAGTGATAGCAAATATGAGTATAATCTCATCTTTGTTCCTTTAAATTACTGTTACACACTGAATGGGATTAAGATCATATTATGAGGAAAAAACTGCATGTGTTTAAGTCATCATAATATTTACATAGAGCAGGAATGAATTAAGACTGAGGTTCATACTGTCAGATGTAAAAGTCTAAAAAAATGCCTTACTTTGCAACCTAAGACTAATGAAGCTGGGCAAATTCTTGTCCCAGGTGTTACAGAGGAAAGGATTACTGAGTAAACTCCACCAGATAAGTAACTAGAGTTTCCCCTATTAATATATGACCTCTTTTATAACTGTCCTAGAAGGATGCAAGGGTATGGAGAAAAGAAGTTACTAAACAAAGTCAAACCTTGCAGATGAACTGATGTAGTAACTGCCTCTTAAAGGGGTGGTTCATCTCCTCAGTTTGTCTTGCTCTTTCTCTCCACCGATTCAATTTCCTAAACAAGAAAAATATCCACTTCCTATCCTTTTATTGCTGGGTTAGTTTTCATCAACTCAAGGATCTGAGGAGCAAGAAAGCCAAATGAATCTCCTCACTTAGCAGCAGTACACTTCATATCTCACACAAATTTCCATGTGGTGACAGGTTGTGTTCTCAGAGCTCAACTACTCACAGCAGGGAGAAAAATGAAATACTGGATGCAATTCAGATCAAAGAAGCAAATTGTTATCACCATGGAAATGCTCATAAGCTTTCCACTCTAACTGTCACATGCTAAGTGTCCTGAACCACCTCAGTAAATCACAGAATGGCTGAGGTGGGAAGGGACCTCCACAGGTCAACTGGCCCAACCCCTCCCTGCTAAAGCAGGGCCACCTACAGGCAGCTGCTCTGGACCACATTCAGACCACTTTCAAGTATCTCCAAGGTGGGAGACTCCACAGCCTCTCTGGGCAACCTCTGCCAGCGCTCTGTCACTCGCACGGTAAGAAGGTGTTTCCTGATGTTCAGAGGGAACCCCCTGTGTTTCCGTCTGTGCCCACTGCCTCTTGTCCTGCCCCTGGGCACCACCGAAAACAGCCTAGCTCCATTTTCCTTGCACCTTCTCTTCAGGTATTTATACCATTGATAAGATCCTCCTCCGAGCCTTCTCTTCTCTAGGCTGAACACAGTCCCAGCTCTCCCAGCCTTTCCTCACAGGAGAGATGCTCCAGTCCCTGAAATATCTTCGAGGCCCTTTGTTGGGCTCTCTCCAGTATGTCCGTGTCTCTCTTGTACCAAGGAGCCCAGAACTGGACACAGCACTCCAGGTGTGGCCTCACCGGTGCCAGGACAGAGGAAAGATCACCTCCCTGGACCTGCTGGCATTACTTTGCTGAACGCAGCCCAGGATACCATTAGTCTTCTTTCCTGCCAGGGCACAGTGCTGGCTCACGTTCAACTTGAAGTCTAGCAGGATCCTCAGTCCTTTTCTGCAAAGCTTCTTTCCAGCTGGGCAGCCTGTGAGTTAATGTCTCAAACATTCATCAAATAAATTAACTGACTGCCTAAGAAAGCACAGAGTGCATCAAAGCGTGCATAGCTCTGCTCCCTTGCGGTTGTATCAACAAATTCTCTAGATTGTCTAAAAGGGAGGAAATGTAGACTGAGTGAAATCATTTTTTCAGGTTAATGCCCACACTTTAATTCAAATCTGCACTGATGTTCTAAGGGGGTCCATTAAACACCTGCTCTATTGCATAAGCCTGTTACTTGTATAAACAACGCACACCTTGCTAACAACTATACCCTTGAAGAACTAAAAAACCAAAAAAAAACAAAAACAAAAAACAAACAAACAAAAAAAAAAACACCAACCAAAACGGTAAGAGGGAAACGTGTTGCCCCAGAGGAGCCAAAGGCTGGATGATTGCCCAAGAAGCATGAAGCTTGTGGTAACTGGGGTAAAGGCGGCAAGGGGAGATCACCACCACCGACCCAATTGGACGAAAGGGTTAATGCACCCCATCCCCCCCTCAATGCATGCGCAGAACCCATGCTCCACCTTCTCCTCACCTCATGCAAATAAATTCATGGAAAACTCTCCTCTTTTCATTTAGTATGCAAATCAGCAGGTAAGACAAACTTAAAAGGCAAGAGAGAATGTTGCTGGGTGTGCACCCACCACCCAAGATTACCAGACTTGAGACAACTCTGGAACCTGGGATGGTGATCCCGATTCTTTGGCTTTCTTTCTCTCCCTTCTTCTTTTACTTCCTTTCTTTTCTTACAGATTTATCAATAAGAGACCATATCGCTTACTATCCTTTCCAAGTTTAAGTCGTTTCTACCAAGTAAAACATTTTAACCGGTCGCTTGGTGTCATTTCACCTTAATTTAACCTGAGGGGATCATGAAATCCCTACAAATCTCTGGGCTACCTAGCCCAGGCCCCCAATATGTATTGATGCATGGGGCTGTTTCTCCCTAGGTGCGGGTCTTTGCACTTCCCTCTGTTGAACTTCATGAGGTTCCTACCTTTCTCCAGCCTGTCAAGGTCCCTCTGGACGGCAGCACAATCCCCTGGCGTATCATCCACCCCTCCCCAGTTTTGAGTCACCAGTAAACTTGCTGGGGATACACTCCACCCCATCATCCAGATCACTAATGAAGATGTTAAACCAGAATGGACCTAGTACTGACCCCTGGGGTACATGGCTAGTTACACCTCCAACTACACTTTGTCCAATGATCACCACCCTCTGGGCTTAGTCATTGAGCTAGCTTTCAATCCATGTCATTGTCTGCTCATCCAGCCAATACTTTAACAGATTCTCAATGAACATCTTACAAGAGGCAGTGTCAAAAAACTTACTGAAGTCTAACCAGACAATATCCACTACTGCACTCTCCTCATCTACCAGGCTAGTCACTTCACCACAGAAGTTCAGGTTGGTCAAGCACAACTTCTCCTTGCCGACTATCCATGTCGACTACTTCTGACGATTTTCCTGTCCTTCATGTGACTAGAAATGGTTTCCAGGATTAGCTGCTCCATCTCCTTCCCAGGGATCGAGGTGACGCTGACCAGCCTGTAGTTCCCTGGGTCCTCCTTCTTGCCCTTCTTAAAGAATGGAGTGACATTTGCTTTCCTTCAGTCTTTGGGAACTTCTCCCAGCTGGCACGATCAATCAAAGGTTATCGGGATTGACCTCACAGTGACAACTGACAGCTCCCTCAGCAATCTTGAGTGCATCCCATCAGGGCCCAGGGACTTATGCATGTCTAGCGTTCTTAAGTATTCCTCGACCTGATCCTCTTCCACCAAGGGTATGTTCTCCTTGCTCCAGACTTTCCCCCTGGTTCTCTAAGAGCTGAGGTTTCTGAAGGCTGGTCTTGCTAGCAAAGATTGAGGCAAAGAAAGCAATCACTACCTCAGCCTTTTCCACATCCTGTGTAACCAGGTTCCCCATCTCATTCAGCAGTAAGACTATATTTTCCCTAGCGTTCCTTTTGCCACCTACGTACTTAGAGAAGCCCTTCTGGTCTTTGACACCCCTTACCAGATTCAATTCCAGTTGGGCTTTAGCTTTCCCAACCTCATCTCTGCATACAGAGACGCTGTCCCTACATTCCTCCTAGGTTACCTGCCCTTTTTTCCACCCTCCATATACTTCCTTTTCATATTTGAGTTTGGCCAGGAGCTTCTTGTTCATCCACGCAGTCCTCATGCTTTTTTGCCTGACCTCCTATTCATCAGGATGGACCACTCTTGAGCTTGGAGGAGGTGATCCTTTAATATTAACAAGTTTTTAAGGGCCCCTCTTGCCTCCAGGGCTTTATCCCATGACTCTTCCAAGCAGATCTTTGAAGAGGCTGAAGTCTGCTCTCCTGAAGTCCATGGTTGTGAGCTTGCTTTTTACTCTCCTCCCTCCCCTGAGAATCCTGATTTCCACCATCTCCTGGTCACTGCAACTAAGGCCTCCTTTGACCTTTATATCCCCAATGAGCCCCTCGCTTCTAGCAAGTATGAGGTCCAGCAGAGTACCTCTCCCCGTCGGCTACTCTGTCTGACATTTAAATCATTCCTAAAAGTGGATCAGGTTCAAAAATTCCACTTATTTTTATACGGCAGATCAGGAGGCTGAGAAACTAGTATGCCAAAGACAGTTGCAGAGCCACAAACCTCATCCTTCACAGGAGCAGAAGGTCCGGAGTCTCATGGTAGAACCTCAAGTGCGTCCCTACAAAAGGTAAGCTTTTTGCACTGAACATCTAAATCAGTGTGAATGTAAGCAGTGAAGTTGACCAGTGAGAGATATTTGCTTGTATGCAAGTGTGAAGCCTCCCAGAAGCATTGTTTTGCTAAAAAAGAAACAAACTAGCAACATTAATAGAAACAAGCACAGACATGAAATCATGACTTTCCAATCTGTTTGTCGAACAGCACTCATCTTTCTAAACTTAAATATACTCCACCACTCCACAGAAAATTCTACATTAGGTCTAGAACTCAGTTTCCGTGGGCTACGCAGCACACCTTAAAGATATTCTAAATGATTTTGTGGAGTACGGATAACTGAGTAAGTTAAAACTTTTCTTGACCCTGTTTGAGGAAATAAAATCAGGAAGAAGGCAAGAAAAGTTCAACTTCACTACACCGAGTTTGTGTCCTTCTCACTGCTTTTTCTGCTGGAAGGCTTCTAGAAAAAATCTCAAGTGGGTAACCGTCCCTCACTGTTTTGTGAAGGGACAACCAAGGGGATCCTGAATCTAACGGAAATTCTGTAGTGAATCTTTAAGTCTGACGTATCAGCAGTAGTCACTTCTCCATACTACACACAGCTACTTTCTGAAAATGTGAATTTGCAGTAATTCAGATTTTCTGTAAATGACTTTGGTGCACAGTCCTGATATTTGCACAACACATGTTGTCTTCCATAACTCAGTCTCTATAGATGCTATCTGATTTCCAAAGGACAGCACTTACCTTCCAATAATTGCTCTCCGCATAGCTTCTTGGCTATATGGACACTTCCCCACTACAATTGCTGACAGATACACTGGATACTGCAGAAAATGCATCAGAAGAGCTCCTTGACACCCTAACACATTCCAGCGAGCCAGTTTATCACTACAGGACATAGAGCACGTTCTGTCCCCACGACCTGGCTTCACTCGTAATAATCCCACACAGTGATACCCTAGCCCAGGTATTTGGGCATCACCCAGCTCTCCAGGTACACATTTTGCTCCAGTTCTATAAACATCTACTACCTTCGGTTCCCTTAAGCCAGTCTCCTTATTAGCTGTTTGCATCACTGCAGAACATTCACAGCTCTTTGGGTTTGTGTCACTTTCTCGTCTCACAGATGCTTTCTGAACAGTCAGGTCTTCAGCGATTACAGAAAAATAACCGTCATTGTCAGTTTTCACTCTCTTGGTTATATGATTATTTGCTGTTGCCTCCAATTTCCTTTTATCTTCTGGACTCAAATGATCACGGTTACTTCTACACTCTGATGATTGTCCAGTTGCATCATCTCCAGTCACTGGCTTAGAAAGCTGGTTCTCTGGTTCACCAATTGGAATAATAGAAGCATCTCCACCTAGAACAAGAGAAACCACATCAAAATTGGCCAACAGCACATCTCTCGTGACTGAAACACATTGCACCAGTAATATTATGACTGATACTAGCTTTGAGAGATCTGCACTCAGGAAACATTAACTATGAGAATGCACTTTTCAAACAATGTTGCCCTGCACAAAGATGAATCGGACTCCACTGAAATTTGAGTCAACACGTGTTTAATTTCAAGTTTCGCATTCTACCTAAGAAATAATCAAAAAAGCAGTATTTAAAACAGAAATTGTAAAGTAAAAGGTGTCAAAAGGCATCTGACAGACTACAAGCAGTGCTGAAGCCTCACAGGAAAACTAGTCTGATCTAACAAAACAGTACAAACTTCAAAATGAATAAATAAAGAAAAAACTATCAAAAAAGGATGGAAATTTTAATCTGTATCACTAAAACAAGCTCAAAAGTAAAACTCTGGAGATCAGTTCAAAGCAAATAAAGCCTAACAGGCATGTGAGAACACCAGTCAGGAAATCATTCTTGCTATTAAATTTGAAGATGTGGATTCTATTCCTATATTGCACGAACAAAGAAAACCATCAATAGCATATTCCAGCAATGCCATCAGAATCATGAATGAGCAACTAATTCATTAAGTGAAGAACTGATAAGGCAAATTTTGAGATTGCTTAGACTTCTTTGCTTTGGTAACAGGCTAGCAGCTGAAGAACACACTGGTAAGAGCGTGGCAACATGGAGACATCCAACAAGCTGGTAGACCAAGAGGTCGTATTCATACATTTTGCCAGTAGATACTCATCTTTGTGGTGCTGTGGTTTTAGAAACACACGAAGAGCATTTTCTGTGACAAAACAAAGTTGCATTCCATTTCATATGAAGTTTCAAGTTGTTGTTGGTGTTTTGTTGTTTTTCCAGAGTTTGATTTTGGTTTGTTGTTACTTTCGGGGGGGGGGGCGGGGTGTCTTGGTTTGTTTTAGTGTTTGGGTTGGGGTTTTTTGATGCGGTCTTTGTTTTGTCAGGGCTTTTTTTAGGAACTCTTGTAAAAATATCAATGTCTTTTATTAAAATTTGATTCCAAGGAGACAAAGCAACCAGGAAATATGACATGACCTCTGACAAGTACATTAGTTTCTAGAAAACAGTAGCCATTGTTTAAAGACGAAGTAAAGCACTACAGTATATAATGACCAGTATATTGGATTTACTGACTTCTCATTAATCACATCCAGTGAGATAAAATGCCAAATATATCTGTGAAGGATCAGCCAAGTACATACTAGGGCACACACTGATAACATGAGTTACTGCCTCACTCTCACTTCAGACCACAGAGAGACCAAAGGCGAGAAAGGGGCAGAAAAGATTCTACAAGCAGGCGTGAAATTGGCTCACTTCAGCACACTCACATGGGGTATGACTGGAGAAGAAAACGAATATGATATTTGGTTTGAGCTTCCATTTCCCAGTTTCAGTTCCTGGAATAAAAATACTGCATTGCTGATGGGAAGCTGCCAGCCACATCTGATGGAGAAGATACCTGTCAAGCAGAAAGTTTTCATGAAACATGTACTTCATTTTTGATGCACAGGAAAACAACAAAAATTAGAGGCCCACTAGGGCCTGTTCTTTCCTGAAGTTTATGAGGAGTCAATCAGTTATGCCTCTGCAGACAGATGATATCCAACATACTCCATAAACACAAACACATCATTGGAACCTTAGTAACTGAGCTCAAAGGCTTGGATTCAGTTATCTTCTCAAATCATGTATCTAAGGTCCCCTCCTACGACTCTGTATTTTCACCTGCACTGCAACTTGCCCGATTCTGTGAAAGCCAGTTTAGTGGCATTAAAACTGCAAGAAATGTACCCGTCTCTGTAGCACTACTATTCTCCCGGCTCCTTGAACCAGCTTATCACCCATGTGAACAAAAGGACTGGTATGTGGGAAACAGCAAAAAGGCTACCCTCGACAGCTAGTCGTCAGACCTGCATTGACAGCACATGAAATCAGATCCTACTTTTTCCATGCAGAAGCTCTACAAGAATGAAGAAACAAGCTTTTGTGAAAGGGCCTTACCACCACCCAGAAGTGTAAAAATCAGGTTAAACACCTGCTAACAAAGGGGGAAAAAGTGCTGCCTACACAGAAGTAATACTCTTTCATTGAATTCTCATCCCTGAAGCTGCAAAATCTGGCTGTTTCATCTCTAGGCCAAAACCATTTGCATCACAGCAACCAACCTCAAGCGGCACTGAATAACAGCACATGAATTTCATGCCTCACCTTTGGAAGCTCCTCTTGGCCACAATTTCAGCATGACTGTCATTCAGAATGTCTCCTAAAGCAACCAACAAATGAGAATAATATGCATCATTACTGAAAAGGAGATGAACAAAGCAAACATAATTTGACATATGACGGTTCTCCAGATTTGTTAGCAGCTGAAGGTTTAACACTGGCGTGAGGTTACTGCAGCATATTTAAACTTCCAGTCATTACAAAAGGAGGTCAATAGCCTACACAAATGAGGGATAAAAGTCTTCGAAGCAAGTCAGAGACTTGTTTGAATACCAGATTTTAACTCTTCTGCTATCTGAAATCCTTTGAGCTGAATAAACACTGGCTTCCTTCAAAACCTTCCTGATGTTTGTAAAGTAAATAGTAAAGCTTGAAATTCTCAGATTCAACATAGCGTCCAGAAAATTTAAAGTGTTTGTTAAGCTTTTGGTTGAAGTTTCTTATTGCACTGTGTCCTACAATTTAAATTGCTTTTCTTGTGTAAACCTGGTAAATATCAGAATTATCTACATTTCGTCTTCAGATTTCTTGCGGTGTCTGCTTATTGCGGTATCTGAAGGAATAGGATCTGTAGATCAGCTTTTATTTCACGAATAAAAGGCCAAGTGATAAAAATCTAAACGTTTAAAAGTCAATCATTAACATAACCGACTAACCAGGTTAATTTAAAAATTAAGATCACTGAAGACAAACAACAGAGAGAGGAACTAGCTTTCCTTTTTTCTAGTCGAATTTCTACTTTGACTCTCACTCAATACCTAGACTGTAAGTAGTACAACAGTTTAATCACAATTTTCCTAGATCAGTCAGAAAAATGTCAGTACTAATACTCTTCCAAGATGGCTAAGTCACAAGAAACATCCACAAAAAACTAAGAGAATTTAGTTTCTTCTCTTTTGCTCCACTAATCCGTTTCAGGATGTCATACTGAACACAAAACAACATAAAATTGTTGCATGCAAAACTTTCTCCTATCTTGCTCTACTCCTCCTCTGAAATCTAAAGGCGGAAAGCCCCGTACCTACATATTCACACACACTTTTCCTCCTTAGTCACTTCTCAGCATTCAGATGCATTCTGAGTAAAAAAAAATAAGATACGCAGAGCAAGCAAAGTCCTGCAATAAATGGTAAGAAATGCTGGCTGTGTGAAGTCATGTATCTTTCCCATATAATTATCATGCAAACACTTAAAATTATCTATCTGCAGAATATACAGTAAGGGAGAAAAAGACTCCTAGTGCCTTTCTGGTGCCACCTGTACCCTAACACGGCAGTTGGTATCTTTCGCATCAAACCACCATAAAACTGAACAAGTGACTGAAGTACAATTATTTTGCTCATGTTTTGTTTTGCTTTTAGTTAGGAAGTCTTTGGGTATGCAGACCCAGAGCCTAAACTACACATTTCCACATATAAAAAGTTTATTCACTTTTAAGGCAGCAAGTGCTGTAAACTTTCAGGGCAGCCATTCTGGCTGACAAAGCCCCTCTCCTTTTGATGAGGTGAGGTCTGCCTTACACTTCTGGCTGCAATCCAGAAGTCTGAGCTCAATGCCTTGGACATTTTAATTGATTCTATGACACCAGCAAGAAAGTAGCATAGGTAGTCTGTTCTTGAATTTTACACCATACCTACCAGTTTTTCTCATTTTGTTTTGGCCAATGCATTTTGTTCCAGTTCCCATAGCCACAACTTCTTTTGTTACTGAAAAATGAAACATTAACTGAATGAACTATCACCAGAAGCATTGCTCTTACAGTCATTCCAGTAAGACGACACACAGAACATTGTGTAGAAGTGAAGGTACAGGGAGGCAGGCCATGCAACATTCCAGAAAGGAGACAGGATCAGCTAGAGAACTGAACATGGCAGGCAGAATCACTAGTGCTAGGAAGTCTATGATCCCACAGCAGGAGTGCTAACACAGGCTTGATATGCTAGGCAACACAAAGTAGACACTGGCATAGGATTCCTCAAACACCTAAGAAAGAAGCATGGGATACAATTTGCATGACAACATGAACGTGCCAGTAAGGGAAAAGATGATGGTGAACAAATGCACAATGTAATAATGCAGTCTGTTGAAGGAGAGCGAACTGAGACCTTTATAGGATTCTTTCAAATAGTAGCCTAACACACTTTTGCAAGGGTTTATGCTAGGGCTTCTGGTCCTGCCTAGACTTTTGCCACTTACTGAACAGCCAAATGCAGGCTTTCATCTTTTTAGTTATAGTCTGGAAAAAACAGGATTTCACTATAACCATCTCTTTTCAGAGCGAAGCTGTAAAAGCTTGTACAATCACCAAGAATAAAGAATTTGGGTGGAAACAGAAGTGAGAGAGGAAGGTGTGTGTTTTTTTTCAAGAGTTATCATGAAAAAAAAAAAAAAAAAAAGGAAAACAAACATGAAGGACTGCCACGCCTCTTCCCCTTCTCCCCCTCCCACCCCAATCCCCACAACTCATTCTTACCCTGCAGATTCCCTGGACTAGCAAGAACCTCTCTTTGGGTTGCAGACTCCACTTTGACAACAGCTGCCAGTGCAGTCCATTCCCTGTTTGGATCTGGTTTCCCCTGCTTAGGGAGTCTGGTTCTATAATGCAGGTAACACAGTTCAGCAATTTCATCAGCTGACCACATGGCTCCTGATGCAAGCACAGGTTCTAAACAGAATTAGATTTCATCACAACACCGATTTACAACCCCCATCTCTTCAAACCCTACCACCTTGTTCTGCATGACACCTTCCTGCACCAGATTAAAATATCCAAGGCCCAACTAGCACCCCTTTCAGGATTATTTATAAGAAATATATCATATGAAATAAAAAACTTTTTCTACAAATCGCTAGGAATAAAAAGCAATGCTAGAACCCTTACAGTCCAGCAGCAGTTGAGACTGCTGGATTCCCAAGGCTCTCACTACGCAGCGATCAGCAATGTGCAACACACACCACCGTCCCCGTCCGGTCCCTATATCACATCTGAGGCACCGCCGCGGCCATTCCGAGGTCTCCGGGCTTCCACCCTGCTCCAGCGACCGCGGAGCGCAGCGCTCCGCAGCCGGGGCGGCCAACGGCCCGAGTGGGCCGGCGTGGGCAGCGCCCGCACGGACCCTTCGCGCAGGCCCCCACCCTCCGCGCTAACGGCGCCGCGCCGGGAGCCCCGCGGCCGCCCCGCGCCGCCCCCCCCAACAGCGCCCAGCCCGCGCATGCGCAGCGGCTTCCGCCGCGCGCGGGGCGCTCCGGAAGCGGCAGCTCCTGCGCAGGCGCAACACAGCGACACACAGACAGGCGGCGGAAAAAGCTTCGTTTATTCGGTATCGGCGCCGCCGAGAGCTTCACACAGAGGTGCCTTCGGCAGGCTGGTCGGGCTGCACCTCCTTCTTGTTGTCCTCCGGTTTCATGGCAGGGAAGAGAAGCACCTCCTGTGAAAAGGGACTCCGTCAGCGGGCGCTAGGGCCGCCCCGCCGCGTGCAGCGCCGAGGGGCACGCGCGCTGGCTATCTCTAGGCAAGTGCAACAGAGGAGACCTGCTCCGAGGTGGAATTCGTAAAGAACCTCCAACGGCTACTCGTTAGAGAGATGGCCTGCTGTGCAGAGTTTCATTCCCTGTTCTCTGACAAAGCTAGCAGTAGGCACTGCCATCTCTAACATTTTACCTTGATGTTACTGGAATCTGTAAGAAACATGGTGAAGCGATCAATTCCCATGCCCCAGCCAGCTGTAGGAGGAAGGCCATACTCTAGCGCGGTGCAGAAGTTTTCGTCGATAAACATGGCTTCATCATCACCTGCGGCTTTTGCCTAAATGTGAAAAAATAATAGTAAAAGGTAGGTTGCACAGAGCAACATAGTATGTGTTCTACTAACCCCTACCAAAAAGGAGGTATATAAGTAGTTGTAGCAGCCATGTAATTGATGAAACCAAAGCCCTACACAGCTGCATAAGTGAGTAACAGATGAAGAAATCTTAGCACCTGGACAACTGTGGAAAAACTGCTTCCAAAATAACTGACAAGTCAGAAAGGAGTTGAGCTTAGAGTTTCCTTTCTAGGCAAAGGCCCAGGCCCTTCACTTTGGGAAAAACTATCTCCAGGGTTATATGGCAGTAGATGACAGTGGAATAAATTGCTTTCAAAGGCTTCTCGGGTTCTTTATTGCTTACAACCTCCCTTTAATGTTTGCAGAAACAACTGAGTGTAATTGTTTAAATCATCAGTAGTTGCTCCATGAAACACAGCCTAGGGATTGCTTTTTTCCCCCCTCAAGATTAAAAAACTCGACACTGAGATGGTAACTAATGTATCTGACCCTCACAGCCTCTAAGTGCCAAAAGTCAAAATAATAAAAATGCAGACTAGCCAACCCTCTCAAATTTAGAAAATGACAAGTTTTGAAACTTTGCTCATGGAGTTTCAAGGAAGACTTTGTGACAGACTATTCAGCAAATTTTTCTCCCTGAGTCTGAAATCCTGAAATACAAAACTGCCATCCTTCATCTCAGTCTCCATCTTAGCATTAAATTTTCAGGCAAATTTTCATTCAATACATGTAATCAATGTCTGGCTATAATCACGAGAGACAACTGCAGCAAACATATATACAACAGAGCAAAGGTGAAAGACACCTGTAGCATTATTCATTCTGACTGAACATTTTGAAATTTACTATCAAGTCAGTTAACGTAAGTCTATCTTCCTGGTTTTGACAATTGTTTAATCCTCTCAGGCACTGTGAAGCCATTAGAAAGAGAAGGAAGAACAGGAACTCTGCTGCTGCAGACCACATCATCTGCCCTCAATTATACGTGGGCACACATGCATTCATGGATGTGTATACCTAATTAATAAAAAAATCTGTTTCAGTCACTCCTTTCTGAGGCTTATCAAGAGAAACCAAGTACTATAAATTTGCAGGCCTAGTAACTTCCAGTCTGCAGCTCTATCTTGTGAGCCAATTTAGAGCAGTAATAAGTCAGTTCAGGAAATCAGGCTATTTCTTACACACCGTTTAAACTCTTACCAGACGTAAAAATTTTTTTAAGAACCTAGAAGTATAATGTTGTATGACTACATAAATGCTTAACTGGGGAAACATAACTTTCAACCTCAGAAAGACAGAGAAAATGCTTTGCACGTGTGTTTTCAGATGAGTACTTCAGGTAGAATAAAACAAAAAATATTCCAAAACAAAGTCACACTACTAAAAAAAACTAATCAACAGCAATGTTTGGACTTGTTTACCTTATGAGATGAAGGTTCCTTTAAAAGAAATGACAGGCTTTCACTTTGTTGACAAACACTCTCTCAAAATAATAACAACTCTTTTCAGCAGTAGGGACTAAGGAGAGATTTGGAATAGACATAGGAAATATTCTTTGCTTACATGCCTAGATCACTGATTCACTATCAGCAAGATACCCCACCTTGGCCTGATCCTCAAAAAGCTGCCGCTGCCGGAAAGGATCATTAAGTTCAGTGTATGCATTGCACACTTCCTTCTTCATTACAAAGAGTTCGAAGCGTTCCGTTAGTCCCTGATGGGAGCGATGCCTATGTGAAGACGACAAACCAACCGTATCTTAAAATAAACATCTTTACAGAAGCAAAGAGCACATATATTACTCCAGGAGGATTGCCCACGCTTAGCAGTTAACAGCTGTCAAAACTACTAAGCAACAGCAAACCTCTTTTCTGGATGATGGGTTTCACAGCTCAGGAACCAGTATCTCTCTTGGTTGGTCTCAGAATTCACAAACTAGTATACAGCATCAAAACTTTGTTTTCACATGTGAATTTTTTTTTTTTTTCTTTCTTTCTTAATAAAGCAGGAGTAGAGGGTTTAAGAGTTACACACTGACTGCGTCTCATACTCTACCATTTGGCTAGAGGACTCATGATCTGTGGGTGATCACAGATGAACGTAGGGTTGATACAAGTGACTTCCAGGAATTCACCAACTAACTGGGAAAACAAAAGCAAAACGATTATGTAGAATACAGTTTCACTTTCCTAGCACTGCCTTTCCCAAACATCCTACTTCCCCCTCCTCACAAGTTTCCTCAATGTGATACAGAAATAGCTTTAGTGCATTTCGGTGTATTTTCCCAGATGCAGCTAAACTTTTGCTCTGAAGAGACTTCTGTTGATACAGATAGATCCTCAAAGGCATTAGGATTATAAAAACACCACCTTTATACTTACTCTGTCAAGAAGCCTGGCTGTTGTCCTGGGAGGCGGACACTCAACATTTCTCTCTACACAAAGGTCATCAAAGAACTTGCGAGTTTCTGAAATTGTGGACAAGAATTAGAGAAGTCACCGAGGCAACCACATTTTTTTTCTTTCTGCATCCATCAACGTGTCTTAGAGTGATTTGTAAGATCTTAATGGTATACATCATGGAAAACATGAGCTTAAATGTCAATTTACAAAACCAGTGTTTGTTTTTAAATCAGTTTGCACTAAAACAGAAGCTATTTTATATTTCAGAAACTTGACAACAGTTAAGCACAACCCCACACAACTGCTGGACATTATTATTTGGGGGAAAAAACAAATTGTAACAACAGTAACAAAAAAATCACTGAAAAGTGTATGAACTTGTTTCCATGTGGCTCTGGATTCCAGGAATAAAGCAACATATATGCAAAATCTGAAGAAAGCCCAAAATAATCACACTCCTAACCTATGATCACAGGCATCAATTGTACAAAAGACCATAGAAAGAAATAAAAAGCCGGGTCTCTTCAACAGATCAAGAACTCCACCGATCATGCCTCTCAAGTATACAGCATCACATATACTCAACAAAGGAAGAGGCAAAAGAGGAGGTAAAAGAGTCGGATCCTGCCAAACACTGAAAGGCATGAAGGCAAAGGCTTCTTTCTGGACTCTCAGATAACAGACAAAACCAGAGAAAAGCAATCCCATGTGTTAGTACCACCTCAAAGAAGCAGCTGACAGACTGCAGGCTGAGAACTTGAGACCTTTTGCCCTCTTTCTGTTAAATGAAGATTTATAGGACAGTCATATTCAGCATCTAACCTTCTGTTTCAAAGCACTCAGCTGATGGAAATTTCACTCCTAGCGCCTTTTCCAGATCATACACCATGCTAATTCGCCGGAAGGGAGGCGTAAAATCTATCTCGTAGGTTTCTCCATCCTGACCATCTGGATGATAAGTGATCTTGTAACTTCCAGTAATATGTTTCACCATCCCTACAAAAGGAACCCGAAATTCAGAAGAGCACGCCACATAATATGCAATTTCTCCAGAGGTTCTTCTTATTTTTTTAATTAATAATCCATACATCACCTGAAAGCAACTTCTCTGTAATTTCCATCAAGTCATGGTAGTCTGCGTAAGCCATGTAGAATTCACAAGTTGTGAACTCAGGGTTGTGAGTCAAATCGATTCCTTCATTCCGGAACTGACGCCCAATTTCATATACTCTGTCCAGGCCTCCAACCACCAACATCTAAACAAAAGGAAATTCTAGTAAACACACTAACTTTTTCAAAAGAACTAAAGAGAACTCAAAACACACGCAACTGCAATGTGACCACGCAAAACTAATCCAAGATACATTTTGTTTCCTCCAATCCAATTACTCCACCTTTCTTCAAGAATAATGCTCGGTTTAGTTACATTTACTTTTTTAGAGTAAGATCACAACAGTCTGAAGAACACAGACTTAGCCATGTGGGGCTTGTATTTCACCTTATGATAAAGTTCTGGAGCAATTCTCATATATAAATTCATATCCAGTTCATTGTGGTACGTGATAAAAGGTTTTGCCACAGCTCCACCTGGAATTACATTCATCATAGGAGTTTCAATCTGTAAAATACAACAACAAAAAAAAATTAGCAGTGGTGCTTTTGTCTAATCTGTTTCCAAAGAACTCTGCAGATTGAGCAAACAAACCACAGCTAGCTTTGATGAAAAATCTATTTCATTTATTGTTTGACATTCCAGCATATGAAAAAAATTCTGAACTAAAGACCGCTTCTCCCATGCAGTCAGTAAAGACAAATTACTTAAAACTATTCGTTGCTATCAGGAATCATTCATATGTACCATAAATGTGAACCTGCCGCGTTCATGTTGTCAAAGCCAAGAACTGGGCTGTGGCATTTTAACAAAATCATCTCTACGCTGTAGAAAATTAAGTTCAACAAGGCGAAGTGCAA